AGAATATCTATACACATGCCCAGTTTAATTATATTACTATAACTTTATTTCATGCTATAAGTCACTAAAAAAAGACTGTGATGATTCCACTAGAGATTTAGAGCTTGAACGGTTACAAACAGTCCACTGGGCTCTGGGTCTCCAGATAATTGCACCCATAGAACAGGTGTGGACCATCGAACGGCAAGTAGCTGGGTTGGAAAGCCTTTGAGATCAGTTGTTTGTGGTCGTCTGTTTCATAAGCACTCCTAATATGTGACAATAATGCAGTGACTAATCTTTGCTCTTGGTAATTGTTCTTTTCTGTTGTACAGCCATGAGACATGACTCCGAGAGCACCAATTAACAATTGTAAGATTAAAGACAACCAATCATCCAATGCTTAGTTTCCCCAGGGTGTATGTGTACCCCAAGGTGGACGAACACACAGGCAGGGTGGCAGGCTGGATTGAATGGAGGCAGAGGTGGCAAGGGAGCTGTACTCCTTAATGATCTTCCAGCACTGCTCCCTTGTGCACCGTGCGGTGATGCCAGGTCTGACATCACTCTGGCCAAGGCATCACACAGTGCAAAGCAGCCCCTCTACCCCCAACAGACACCAGTGAAAGGATCCCTAGGGAAAGGGACCACTATAGCTCTCCCAAAGGTAGGGAGGCTGGGTGAACTTAAATAAAAATAGTAAAAAAAAAATGACAATTTGTGAGTGTGTGTGAAGGAATGTGTAGGTGTCTGTCTGTGAGTATTTGTTTCTTTTTGTATCTGTCAATGAATGTGTGTGTGTGTCTTTCAGTGTGAGTCAAATCAGTTTGAGTGTGTCTGTCAGTGAGTGTGCGTGTTTGTCAGTGAATGTGCATGTGTGTCAGTAAGTGTGTCTGTTAGTGAGTGTGTCAATGTGTCTGTCAGTGTGCGTCAAACCAGTGATTGTTTCTGTCAGTGAGTGTGTGCCTGTCAGTGTGTGTCAAATCAGTGAGAATGTGTGTGTGTGTGTGTCAGTTTCCTCTTTGTGTAAATGTATGTTTTAGTGTCCACTGTGTGTAATTATTTTTGTCAGTGTCATTTGTGTGTATATGTGTGTGTGTCAGTTTCCTGTGTGTGTCTTGTTTGTAACTGTGTGTTTTTCAGTGTCCTCTGTGAGTGAGTGTGTGCCTGTCAGTGTAACTCTGTGTTTCAGTGTCCTTTCTGTCAGTGCTTGTGTGCCTGTCAGTGTGTGTCAAACCAGTGATAATGTGTGTGTTTGTCAGTTTCCTCTTTGTGTAAATGTATGTTTTAGTGTCCTCTGTGTGTAATTGTTTTTGTCAGTGTCATTTGTGTGTATATGTGTGTGTCAGTTTCCTGTGTGTGTCCTGTTTGTAACTGTGTGTGTTTCAGTTTCCTCTGTGTGTAACTATTATGTGTGCATTATATTTTCATTTTGAGACTTCTATACTTCAGATTAATAGTGTCAGGATTACTAGTTGATCCAGGATGCAGAATTATATCACACCTAGGACAACGCTTAGCAGGACCATAAAATGGCCGGACTTAACGTATTCAAGAATTGTAAGAATATTTGCCGAGGTCAGGGATACAGAAGGAGACACGACTATGAGGGGAAGCCAAAAGTCAAGGATACCAGATATCAGGGAAGTCAAAACGAAGCCAAAGTCAAAAAACAGAATAATACAATCAGGAACACACTCTCGGATAACCAGCAAAGGGAAACCTCGACAGGAGAATGAGTGGAAGAAATTAGTGAGCTTAAATATCCCTCTTGTGCATCTGATTGGCCGTATCCGGCCTTTGACCCAAAACGTGCATGCGCGTCCTCTGTGTGCCGTCACCCGCATGTCGACGTCACTACTACCGTGGACAGACATGGGGCTATATAACCATGTGGATATGCAGCGACCGTCGTCCACCAGCATGTGGCAAAACCCCGGTCTCATGGCACAGGAACGCCGAGCAGCACCCCTCTCACTTCCGGAAAGGTGACCATTTTTGTGCATAGCACATGGAGAGGATGCAAACGTGACAAATAGTTCATACACTTCTTACATACACAATATTCACATTATGTCATGTTTATTTTAAAATACATTTCATTTGGAATTTAAAGCAATAGAAATGACTTTCATGAGACAGGGGTACTTAGTAATTTTATTTGGACCTGTGGGGGTACTTTTCTGTCAAAGGTTGAGAAACACTGATCTAATAAATGCGATGGGAAAAGGAAAGGCTTAAAACACATTTAGGAGTTGTATGCTGTGGGCTGAATGATGAGAGGAACCTAGACACAGAGAGAGGAAATCTGAAGAAACAATTGACAAAATGAGAGATAAAGGATGGCTCAGAGACACCAGGGAAGAAGGCATAATTGAGATAAATATGGGACCTTGGGGGGGAGAGGAGATTTTAAAAACTAGAGCAAAAAGGTTTCTCTAGTTTTCAAATTAGGTTATGGAAAACAAGAGCTAGAAAAGGCATATTAGTCCTTCAGTGTACTGAGCACATATCAGAGGAGGAGCTGAGAATAAAGATGGTGGAAGCTGTGGTGGGGAGTTATCTGTAGAGTGACTGGTGGAATGGGATGCTATATTGCCACTGTATCTGGATGTCTGTTGGTGGCCTTTAGAGATTTAATGTCAGCTTTTCATCACTCTCTTCCTTCATGACTTGCCCTAAGACTATCATACATTTCCTGGGGGCGTAGAAAAGGCTGACCCCTTAATGGCATCTAAGTGGACATAGATAGGAGTTACTGAGCCAAAATACGTACAAGGCATGTGTGTTTATAGCTCACTAAATTGTCTAGGTCTATTTGGTCCATAACCCTCATTAATCATTATCAAGAAAAATTTACAAGAAAGTTCAGAATTATAAAACCATCTAACCTGGGGAATATGTTACACTATTCTCAAAAGTATAGGCACTATTTACAATGTATACCCTACTGATTAATGAGTAACTACATTTTTTGTTTGCTGGGCAATCACCTCCAATATAAGAGACCTTACATAGAGTATCAGTATCCAAGGGGAGGTATATATTAGGCAGCAAGTGACAAGGCAGTTCTAGAATTTCATGTTTTGGAAGCTAGAAAAATGGGCAAATTAAAAGATCTTAATGACTGACTACCGGCATCAGGTTCATGGGCACCCAGGGATCATTGATGCATAAGGTGAGTGAAGGCTAGCCCATATTGTCCAATCACACAGAAGAGCTACTGAAAAACGTAAAGCTGGCCATGCTAGAAAGGTGTCAGAACACACAGTGCGTCGCAGTTTGCTGCATATGGGGCTGCACAGCCACAAACCATGATGTCTCCTGTCCACTGCTGAAAGCACCGTCATTGGGGACATGAGCAACAGAACCAATGGAAGAAGGTTGACTGGTCTGATGAATCACGTTTTCTTTTAGATCAGGTGTATGTTATTTACCTGGGGAACACACAGCAGCATGATGCACTATGGGAAGAAAAAAGGCTGGTGGACGCAGTGTTTATGCTCTGGGCGGTTCTATCCAATAATCAAGGAATACAATCGCAAGGAACTGCCTTGATTAGTTATGGGTGGAGTTATGGGCTGCTGCAGGTCAGTACTCTATGACTTGGTATCTATGTGTCAAGAGTCACCCTATAGCAGTGATGGCGAACCTATGACACGCGTGCCACAGGTGGCACGCCGGGCCCTCTCTGTGGGCACGCAGCCATAGGTTCACCATCAATGCAGAGTAGGCACCTGCCTGCCCAAAACGGCAGGCGCCTACTCTGCTTTCTTGTCGGCAGGACCGGAAGCAGGGGGAGGGATTGAGGAAGCAGCTCTCCTGTCCTCCCTCGAGCTGTGTGGAGCGTTGCCGCGCGTTACCATGGCAACGCTCCACACAGCATTGCGCTGGAGGACAGGAGAGCTGCAGGCTCCTGTCCTACATACTTACCACCACCGGACCACCAGGGATGGCTGTGTTCCCCCCTCCCTTTTACTAAAGGTAAGAAGAAGGGAGGGGGGAATACAGAATCAATATGCTTTAAAAAAAAAAAAAAGTTTTTAATGTATCTTCAAACCCCCCCAACACAGCACCCCTACCCCTCCCCCCAACACAGCACCCCTACCTCTCCCCAACACAGCACCACCCCAACACAGCACCCATCCCCTCCACACCAGCAGCCTACCCCTCCCCAACACACCCCTACCACCCCAACACACACCCTGCCCCCACCTAGCACCCCTGCCTCCCACACACAGCACCCTGCCCCACACACAGCACCCCTGCCCCCACACACAGCACCCTGCCCCCACACACACAGCACCTGCCCCCCACACAGCACCCCTGCCCCCCACACACAGCACCCTGCCCCACACACAGCACCCCTGCCCCCACACACAGCACACACAGCACCCCTGCCCCCACCCCCACCCCTGCCCCACACACAGCACCCCTGCCACACACACAGCACCCCTGCCCCACACAGCACCTCTGCCCCCCCACACCAGCACCTGCCCCCCCCACACCACCCCTGCCCCCCCACAACGATTCCAGCAAACCCCACACATGACACACAAACATCACACTCACTCAGCAAACCCCACACATAACACACAAACATCACACATCACACAAACCCCACACATAACACACAAACATCACACATAAATAACACATAAACCCCACACATATCCCAGCCAGCCAAACCTCTCACAACACTCAGCAAACCCCGCACATAAATGTATTTCCATAAGACGTCTAACTGCAGACAGTATTTCCGGAATTCCACTCTCTGCTCTATAAGGTCATATGAGGACATTTGAGCAGTTTCTTTTAATGTGTGAGAATGTTCCTGTTCAGATTGCCTTTTCTTGCAATGCTCTGTCTCTCAGAGGGTTAAAGCAGCACGATCTTCCCTCCCACCAGATTAGGGGATGTGTCTGTGATCACCCCCCGGATTAGATTAGAGTAAGAGGACATGATACAATGTGACTGGTGCTTCCTGTTCTGAATATCACTCAGTGTGCTGGGTGTGTGGGGTCAGGCTGGCTGAGGGTGCTGGGAGTGCATTCCATGTGACCCCAGACAGAGTGAACATTGCACAGGACTCCAGGGGGATGCAGTCTCCGTCAGTACACATCCCTCTTCCTATTGGCTGTCTGGGAAGGCTGTGCCCAGTGCGCTGCGCTGATTGGCTGCACACGGTTCCTTTAAAGTTCTGTAAATAGAACCCTCAGCGTGTTCCTGATCCGGAGTGTTCGCTGCCCGTGGGATTGGGTGCACTGCGTGGGTCACCTCTACCTACCGCAAGCAGGACCAAGGTAGGTCCCAACCTGGCAGCCATCCTGGGCTTCAAAGGGACAGCCTTCTGGAGCGATATCTGACCCAGATCTGATCAGCACCGGGTGAAGGCCTGCTGTGAGGGCCACAGATTGCACAGAGATCTGTCTGTAAAAAACATGAGCAAAGATTAGAGATCTGTCTGTAAAAAACATGAGCAAAGATTAGAGATCTGTCTGTAAAAAACATGAGCAAAGATTAGAGATCTGTCTGTAAAAACCATGAGCAAATATTAGAGATCTCTCTGTAAAAACCATGAGCAAAGATTAGAGATCTGTCTGTAAAAACCATGAGCAAATATTAGAGATCTCTCTGTAAAAACCATGAGCAAATATTAGAGATCTGTCTGTAAAAAACATGAGCAAATATTAGAGATCTGTCTGTAAAAAACATGAGCAAAGATTAGAGATCTGTCTGTAAAAACCATGAGCAAAGATTAGAGATCTGTCTGTAAAAACCATGAGCAAATATTAGAGATCTCTCTGTAAAAACCATGAGCAAATATTAGAGATCTCTCTGTAAAAACCATGAGCAAATATTAGAGATCTGTCTGTAAAAAACATGAGCAAAGATTAGAGATCTGTCTGTAAAAAGAATGACCAAAGATTAGCAATCTGTAGGGATCTGTCCAAAGATTAGCAATCTGTAGGGATCTGTCCAAAGATTAGTGATCTATCTATAAAGGTCATGACCAAAGATTATTATAGAATAGATAATAATTGACAGTGAGCTGTCATTAAAGTGCATGCTTTAAGATTAGTTACTATTTTACAGTGAGCTGTCATTAAAGTGCATGCTTTAAGATTAGTTACTATTTTACAGTGAGATGTCATTAAAGTGCATGCTTTAAGATTAGTTACTATTTTACAGTGAGCTGTCAATCATTAAACTGCATGTTCAGAGATTAGATAGCAGGTTTTAGTGATCTGTCTCTAAATTTCAGCAATCACTTTTTAAATGACACAATGCATCGCCTTCCTGAACCTTACAGGAAAGTGCAGCACTGATCCCAATGTTGTTCTTTGTCTGGCTGTGCTGAGGGTAACCCTGAGCATGGAGTGATCGCCTGCAGGCTGTCCTGGCCATGTGTCGCTGCTGCTCCTCCTGCCTTCCCCTGCAATCAGTCACTGCCATGCATTCATTGGATTTCACTTACTAACTAGGAATACGTTTTGTGGAGCGTTAGGGCAAAATAAATTGGGAAAAGGCAGGAATTTGATAAGAAATTGTATATTGTTTAGGTTCTCCTTTTAATGTAGTAATGTGTTTTGGAGCAGTTTGTAGCTGCCACAGTATTACTCCGAGAACTCTGAACTGCACGCACCTAACTGGAATAATGACCTTTTATCAAACATCTAACTGCATCTGGATTAACTCTCACAGGGTTTATTTTCCTGCCTCTTACCTATGAATTGAAATAATGGAAAATATTTGCCACTAGGAATCTATACAGCCAAAGCTCAATTTGCTTGAGATCCAAGGAATTTAGAGGCCAAGGCAAAACCTTGCGCTCTGTCATGTTACTCAAACCATTCCTGAACAATTTTTGAGGTGTGGCAGTGTGCATTATCTTGCTGAAAGAGGCCACTTCCATCCGGGAACACCATTGCATGAAGAGGTGTACGTGGTCTCAGGGCTGTCTTTAACATTGATTAGGCCTTAGGCAAGCATTTGCTTGGGCCACTTGGATCCTGTCCTCACACTTCCACCCCCTAGCATGTAATTATGCCCCCCAACACAACTCAGTGGCAGAACTAATATAGAGAGGACCCTGTTGCAAGACTTTTTTTGGGCCTCCCCTCTAGAGCAAGAGTGGAGAAAAGATGGATCTGTCATACAATTCCCACAATGCTATGCCAGCTGGGCATCTACCATTTGGCCAATCTTGCAGGGCTGTATTTGTGAGCAGTGTTTGTGCAATTTAATGTGAGCATGTTTTTATATAGAGTATGTGTGTGCATGTAGGGTGTAGTATTGGTGTTTGAGTAAAGGGGTGAGTTTGTATATGCTTTCTGAGTTTGAATCAATGGGTGTGTTTGCATATTGTGTTTGATTGTTGGGATGTATGCACATACATTCACAGATATACATACACATTTACACGCAATCCCTGCGGCAAGCGCTATGTGCCTCCCTCCGTGGGCAGGTGAGGGATATCAAAGATCTTCCTCACCGACCCACAGGCAGGAAAGGAGGCAGGAGAGGACCCGGGGAGCTCTTGTCAGCAGCTCCGCCAGGTTCATCTCGCACGGTCAGAGCGTACCGCGGCAAAGCTCAGATCGAAGCACTCTTAAAGGGACAGGGGGCCCTGATTACTTCACCTGCCGCAGCCCATTGGGAGATTTCCAGTCCTGGTTGCAGCTGCTTTGGGCCCCCCAGGGTAACAGGGTAACAGGGCTCGGGGCACAATTTCCTGCAAGACTGCAACAATCGCTAGGTAGGTGGTACATGTCAAAGTAACATCCACATGAATGCCAGGACCCAAGGTTTCCCAGCTGAACATTGCCGAGAGCATAACACTGCCTCTACTGGCTTGCCTTCTTCCCGTAGTGCATGCTGCTGCCATTTTTTCCCCAGGTAAATAATGGACACACATCTGATCATCTACCTGATTTAAAATAAAACCTGATGCATTAGACCAGGCAACCTTCTTCCATTGCTCCATGGACCAGTTCTAATACATCCCTAGGGAAGGCACTTTCGGCAGTGGAGAGGGGTCATCATAGGCATTCTGTCCAGTCGGTGGCCCCATAAGGAGCAATGTACAATGCACTGTGGGTTTCTATCATGGCCAGCATTACGTTTTTTAACAATTTCAGCCACAGTAGCTGTTCTTTGTGATCCAACCAAACCGGTTGGCCTTTACTCTGCAAGTGCATCAGTGAGCCTTAGATGCCCCTGATCCCGATGCTGGTTCACTGTTAGTCCTTACACCAATTTTGGTGAATACTAACCCGCATATTGGGAACACCTAACAAGACTTGTTGTTTTGGTGATGCTCTGAACCAGTTGTCTAGCCATCACTATATAGCCCTTGTCAAAATCACTAGATGTTCTGGATCTTTGACAGAACCAGGGATTTTTTTTGTTATTGAACGTACAATGAGAGAAAAGTATCCTTTCATTTAGAGAGTGTTGACTGTAGTTTCATGGTGATGGTTACCGTGTACATGTGTGTCTGTTAGATGAAATCTAGACATCCAATGGACACCAATTTTACTGTATGTTCATACATGTGGTATATAGTCATGGAGTCGAGCAGATGGATCATGTGTCTGTTAATGAAAGGACGCTCTTATTGGTAAAGTTGTATTTCTGAAACTGTGACTGTACTGTTCACAGAAATTGTGTAATAATTATTGGTAATGTAATAAAGAATTATGGAAAATTGATAAGGGGGTTTTAAATGTTATGTTCAAATAGCATAGTTGGCAGCTAAAGTTGTACTTTTTTGTTATTTCAGTGGCCTTTTGGCTTTCTCCATTTTGATATTTATGAGAAACTTATAAAAGTTCTTTTGAATTACCAGAAATATGCTGATCTCTTATAAATCACCCATCAAGGTGTGTTATAATCTTTTCATCTGATGTTCCATTTTATTTTAAATGAATATTAATGATTTAGCAATTAACGTCACAATCCAGTCAAGTCCAGGCACAACCAGGGCACATTTTGAAATGAGAGAAATGGAAACACTCCTGTTTCTCCACGTCCATATTCTGGATTTAATCACAGAAAATAAGTTTTATGGCATTGGTTGATGACATGAAGGCACACCAGTCATTCCCAGGAAAGAGCAACATTCAACAGTTTGGATATTTTATTTATTTAGTTTCTCATCTAACAAACAATGTTATTTTGTGTGTTTGAACAACGTTGTCAGATATTGGTGGCAAAACAGTTGCTTCATGTCTAGACATGTTGGGAAAACGAAAATAATTTCTTCTCAAAAAAGTCTGCACTCATATGAATTGAAGATGGGGTTTAAATTGACATTATTTAAACCCCTATGAAATTGACATATGACACAAGAAAGGGAATAATTGCATTTGCACTTTTTCAATAAGTTAATTTTGGCTTTGGTTACAAATCTAGCAATGCATTTTGCCCATTGTGCAAAGATGCAAAAAAAAGCATGTTCTCAACTTCTCTTGTAAGGCTGTTAATAGAATTTTGCATATGTGTGTGTATACATTTTTTTTTTTTTTTAATTCAAAATGTTGGTTCTTGCACATACATACACACATCTCACTACAGAAAGCTCACAATGACGTACACAACAAGTTCACTACACACAAGCATACTGATACACACAAGATCACAGCTCAATGTCATTACACACAAGCTCACTGACACATTCACAAGCTCACTCACAGATGCATACGTTCACCACTGAAAAATCAATACACACAGCTTACAACAGAAAGCTCACTCACAGACATTTAAGCTCACTATAGAAAAAATACTACACACTGCTCACTACAGATAGATCATTGACATATCCAAGCTCACTACAAACATCTAACTACACTCAAACTCACACAGCTCACTGACATATAAGCACAAGCTCACTACACACAGCTCGCTACAGAAAGCTCACTGACACAAACAGGGGCTCACTTCACACAGCTCACTAAACACATGCTCACTAAACACAAGCTCATTGATCCACACACAAGCTCACTACATGCACACAGAAGATCACTAAAACACAAGCTCACTACATGCACACAGAAGATCCCTAAACACAAGCTCATTGATAAACACAAGCTCACTAAACACAAGCTTACTGACATACACAAGCTCACTACATGCACATCGAAGATCACTAGCACACAAGCTCACTACATGCACACAGAAGGTCACTAGTACACAGGATCACTAAAACACAAGCTCACTACGTGCACACAGACGATCACTAAAACACAAGCTCACTACGTGCACACAGACGATCACTAAAACACAAGCTCACTACTTGCACACAGACGATCACTAAACCTAAGCTCACTACTAGCACACAGGATCACTAAAACACACACTCACTTCATGCACACAGGATCACTAAAACACAAGCTCACTACATGCACACAGAAGCTCACTAAAACACAAGCTCACTACATGCACACAGAAACTCACTACAACACAAGCTCACTACATGCACACAGAAGCTCACTACCACACAAGCTCATTGATACACATGCACACAAGCTCACTACAAACAGGCTCACTACATGCACACAGAAGATCACTACATGCACACAGAATCACTAAAACACAAGCTCACTACATGCACACAGAAGTTCCCTAGCACACAGAATCCCTAAAACACAAGCTCACTACATGCACACAGAAGCTCACTACCACACAAGCTCATTGATACACATACACACGCTCACTACATGCACACAAGCTCACTACAAACAGGCTCACTACATGCACACAGAATCCCTAAAACACAAGCTCACTACATGTACACAGAATCACTAAAAACAAGTTCACTACATCTACACAAGGTCACTAGCACACAGGATCACTAGAACACAAGCTCATTACATGCACACAAGATCACCAAACACTAGGAGCTGGGGGCGAAGCTCGGGTATCGCTGACCTTTGCAGCTTGTGCTGCTCTTAGGAGAAGCCCACAGGGGTCCGTAGGGGTTCAACTTTAACCCCACAGAGGGGAGGGGCTAAGTGAGAAGGAAATTCCCCCTCCTATTGTCTAAAACAGAGCGCTTCCTCCCAGGCACTGAATGAGAGAGCAGGTAGGGAGAGCTTCCTGCCGGTCTCACAGCTTGCTAACCTAGCTGTCTTACATGACACTGGGCAGATTGAGGAGATCAATGGATCTTCCCAGCTGGCCATTGCAGCTCTGGGCCCCTGACTGCCATGGGCCTTCCGTCCATGGCCGATGTGCCCGAGTGGTCGGTCCGCCCCTGGATGCATCAAATCATGTTCTCTGGACTTGTCCTGTGGTATCTGGAACCAAGACATTAGTTGGAGAATCTTTAAGTCCTGCAAGTTGCGAGGTGAGGCCTCCATGGATTGGATTTGCTGTTCCAGCGCATCCCACAAATGCTTAATCAGATTGAGATCTGGCTCCTTCTTATCATGGCCAGCATGAGGCTTATCAGCTACAGTAGCTCTTCTGTGTGATAAGACCGGAAGGGCTAGCCTTCTGTTGTGCTAAATCATTAAATTCATGAAGCACCAATATCCAAAAAGTAATAATCAATACCTAATAAGGTTTTGTAGTGATATTGGCGGGCATACAACTCAGTTCGGATAGAGTACATTGAGTTATAGGAAAGAGAAATCACACAGAGACCAAGTTGAATATAAGAATTCACACTACACTTTATTATCCACAAAGGGATCTAAGCAAAGTAAGTTATACTCTCATTTAAGTAGTTGCATGCATTTACTTCAAACAGCTTAGTATCTAGATATATCAGCTTAAGTATACATCACCATTAGAGAAGCTTGGTTGCCTCCTTGCCACACGTGACTGGGGGGGAACTCATGCAGTCACTCGGAGAGACCCTCTCTTCTGAGAACAGCAGAAACCAGTAACACACGTCCGCATTACAGGTGGGTAGTTCTCAAAGGGAGCGCAAGATTCCCTTAGTCTTATATACCTGTCTTCAAGGACAGTCAGTAGTTCCTTATCAGTGCAGCCCAGCAAAAGACCTTGATACAAGCAGCTGGATGGACCTGGCAGTTGGACAGACTGTTCAGGACCACCAGAACTTATGCCAAGTCATGTGCGTTTAATTATCTCTTATCTACAAGCTTTCTTTGTACTATTCTAGAGATGGCAACATAATTTTTTTATGGCAACATAAGTTTCTCAAACTGCTGAAGTGCTGTCAGCTTATAGTGCTGGGTCAGCTTAGTAAACAGCTGTAGTGCTGTGTCAGCTTTTAATAACTGTGGCATAAAGTCTTCAAGCCTGCATCTAGTAATTGTGGCCTTCAAGCCTGCATCTAGTAATATGTGCTATGTGTGCTTATATGCTTACTGGTGCCATCTTAACTGTTTATAAATGTTTGAGTTGCTCACAAGTGATCAATCAATCATACTTAATTAATATGAAATATTATTATCACACCTTCACTCCCCACATGCATCAGTGATCCTGAACTATATAACAAATGTTATTCACTTCAACTGTCTGTGGGTTAAATGTTATGACTGTCCAGTGTATCTATTCTTTGATTCAATATGTATATATATTTTTTTTGTTCTAGGTAACAACATGTGGCAAGCATTGAAGTGCAGAAGGTATAATGTTCGCTTTGCCCATTTGGTGCGGTATCATCATCGGGCTGTATTAGCCATTCGAAGAGAGGACATCAATGCTTGGGAACGAAGAGCTCCACTTGCACCAAAGCATGTGAAAGAGCTTACTAATCTTGGGTACAAAGTTTTGGTCCAACCATCCAACAGACGAGCCATCCATGAAAAGGTAGACTTATTAAAACCATGTATTAATTTTGCACATAGAATCCCTTTTATATGTTACTGGCAGCTGAACTAACCTGTAGATTAACTGCACATCATTAAGAAAACCAGATGTCCATGCAAAAGGCCAAAGTAGCTGAAATTTATTTTGAAATCGCTATGAATTCTCACTTTAGTGGATACCCCTGCGGTGATGGTTAAATCCTGTATAAAAGAATTGGTCAGAGTACCATGGCAAACAGGAAAAAAAATAAAATTGGTATGTATTCAGCTGGCAGCAAGACAATATACAGTTGCAAGAAAAAGTATGTGAACCCTTTGGAATGATATGGATTTCTGCACAAATTGGTCATAAAATGTGATCTGATCATCATCTAAGTCACAACAATAGACACTCACAGTCTGCTTAAACTAATAACACACAAAGAATGAAATGTTGCCATGTTTTTATTGAACACACCATGTAAACATTCACAGTGCAGGTGGAAAAAGTATGTGAACCCTTGGATTTAATAACTGGTTGAACCTCCTTTGGCTGCAATAACTTCAACCAAATGTTTCCTGTAGTTGCAGATCAGACGTGCACAACGGTCAGGTGTAATTCTTGACCATTCCTCTTTACAGAACTGTTTCAGTTCAGCAATATTCTTGGGATGTCTGGTGTGATTCGCTTTCTTGAGGTCATGCCAAAGCATTTCAATCGGGTTGAGGTCAGGACTCTGACTGGGCCACTTCAGAAGGCGTATTTTCTTCTGTTTAAGCCATTCTGTTGTTGATTTACTTCTATGGTTTGGGTCATTGTCCTGTTGCAACACCCATCTTCTGTTGAGCTTCAGCTGGTAGACAGATGGCCTTAAGTTCTCCTGCAAAATGTCTTGATAAACTTGGGAATTCATTTTTCCTTCAATGATCGCAATCCGTCCAGGCCCTGACGCAGCAAAGCAGCCCCAAACCATGATGCCCCCCCACCATACTTCACAGTTGGGATGAGGTTTGATGTTGGTGTGCTGTGCCTTTTTTTTTCGCCACACATAGTGTTGTGTGTTTCTTCCAATCAACTCAACTTTGGTTTCATCTGTCCACAGAATATTTTGCCAGTACTGCTGTGGAACATCCAGGTGCTCTTGTGCAAACTGTAAACGTGCAGCAATGTTTTGTTTGGACAGCAGTGGCTTCCTCTGTAGTATCCTCCCATGAAATCTATTCTTGTTTAGTGTTCTACGTATTGTAGATTTGCTAACAGGGATGTTAGCATTTGCCAGTGACTTTTGTAAGTCTTTAGCTGACACTCTTCTTCACCTCGTTGAGCAGTCTGCGCTGTGCTCTTGCAGTCATCTTTACAGGACGGCCACTCCTAGGGAGAGTAGCAGCAGTGCTGAACTTTCTCCATTTATAGACAATTTGTCTTACCGTGGACTGATGAACAGCAAGGCTTTTGGAGATACTTTTATAACCCTTTCCAGCTTTATGCAAGTCAACAATTCTTAATCGTAGGTCTTCTGAGAGCTCTTTTGTGCGAGGCATCATTCACATCAGGCAATGCTTCTTGTGAAAAGCAAACCCAGAACTGGTGTGTGTTTTTTATAGGGCAGGGCAGCTGTAACCAACACCTCCAATCTCATCTCATTGATTGGACTCCAGTTGGCTGACATCTCACTCCAATTAGCTCTTGGAGATGTCATTAGTCTAGGGGTTCACATACTTTTTCCACCTGCACTGTGAATGTTTACATGGTGTGTTCAATAAAAACATGGCAACATTTCATTCTTTGTGTGTTATTAGTTTAAGCAGACTGTGATTGTCTATTGTTGTGACTTAGGTGATGATCAGATCACATTTTATGACCAATTTGTGCAGAAATCCATATCATTCCAAAGGGTTATGTAGATGAAGAGATGAAGAGAATAAGGCCTAATAATAATATTCAAGTGAAGGCATTGGTTAACAACGTAGACAAGGAACATTGTATGTAGAAGAAACCGCTAAAGATAATTGTGTGAGAGACCAGAGAGTGAGTGAATGGTAAAGCTTATTAACGCTGTGTTAGCAAATTGAGGACAGGATAATGCCGAGTTAATCAACACATAAATATTGATAATGGAGTTTGAAGGAAATCTCTTTTAAGTAGGTTGACAACTTGTTTGTTGAATTAAAGAGTTACCAACAACTTTTTATTTTTTTACTTTAGAATACCTTAGTGGCCATTATTCATTGGGTCCCACCTTATGAACCTGCAAAAAGAACCTATAAACTTACCTGGAATCCAGCGCCAGGTGAGGCTCCTCTCACTGGATTCCACGTCCTGTCTGACATTACTGATGCCTTCTCTTGGTCCTAGTTCACTGGCTCAGAGTGCATGAACATGCGCTAAGCCAGGTGGGGGAGTGGATTTAAAATAAAAATGTAATAAATGACACTGAAGCAAGGTCACTGCCTACAAGTGAGAATCTCATTATATATTTTGCTAGCATGCTGATGTCAGACATAATGATTGCACAACATTCCCATTAGGCAGCCCAGAATAGAGTTAAGCTTGCCTAAGTCAAGTTTGCTGGTGGTGCAACTAGTCGCCAGTACAAAAGTGCAGATTGCTCCTGTGTACGCAGTGTTTCCAGCTGAAACACAGAACATACAGTTTTTTACCACCACGAATGCTAAAAGCAGAAATGTTCATGGTGGTTTTAGTAACCCGTCTATGTGTGCTTTATTATACTTAAGAGTGTGTCATCATTTTGTGTCTGTTCTTTGAAGAATCTGACATTCTCAAAATCAGCTCTGTTTCATCATGGTCATTTTGGCCTAGCATTCGCATGAACTTGCTAATTTTATATAATTTCTGATTTAGAGAGTGGACCCCCTTAGCATTTCTTCAATAATCAGAGGCAGACTTGTTCCTCCATCATAGCACTGAATCTCCCACTATGTATACAATTTACCAGTTGTGGCCTAAATGTGGATATTGGATTTCGGTTTCAAACAAATTCCACTTTGTCCCAGTTTTGGCTGATTGGTGGCTTGTCTGAACTTTGTAACTCCGAAGGGGCAAAAAAACCTATCCTAAAAAAACCTGGTCAATTGACAAATAGGTTTGTTTGCTTCATGATTCAGTGTTTCGTTCATGGTGCCAAAAAAGGAGATGATGGTTAGGTGACAGCAACTAACTCAAAGAAAGAAATCAAATTAATAATCCGTGGACTAGCCGGAATGAAGTTTTAAATACACGACTGAATGCTCAAAATTGCGAATATATTGACCATATTTGGACTGAATTTTGAATGGCAAAACACCATTCTGTTAAGTTGAAATTCTGTGAAAGAAAATTAGCAAATTACTGTACTTCTAAATATTACTCCTATATATTTTGCAGTACAGTAATAAGCTCACTCTGCACACCTTTTTTGGTTTATCTGAATAGGTTTTTCCAGCTTGTTTGCAGGGACGATATTTGGAAGAGCTAAACCTCAACCATGAACAAATTTAGACAAACACTTTAAAAAAAAAGTTTTTTTTTTTTTTTTTTCCTCCTGGCCGAATTAAGTTAGAAGAAGCAAATTTTGTTTTGTCGATATTCCCCATTATTATGATTTAACACTGGAGTAAAATAAAGTTGAATACAGTTTTTCATGGCATATTTTACACAGACCTAATTTTTCTTTAAGGAAACTTTCGTTTTAGCCTGCGACTGTCTGCTTTTTAATATAGGTTATTAGAAATGAGTTTCACAAAGTGTATCAAATATTGTCTTTAGCATTGTGTTCTGCTTTTAACAAACTTCATAAAAGATGCATTAAGTGGGTGAAGAGGCCTTAGAAATAAATGCTAACATTAGTTATAAGGTAAATGTGGTTGAGTTTTGAACTGTTTTTTTTTGTTTGGTTTTTTTTTTTTTTATAGCAGAAATGTTCACCTTCGCAGGTTATATAATGTAATTTCTTCAGAACTACACAGGTAGAACTAAATGAGCTGGATGGAAACATTAGTCGCTTTATATACCACATTATTTCTTCAGTGTTTTCTTTGTACTAAGGTTAAATGTTTGAGCATTTCTGAATTTTCAGGATAATTTTTTTTCAATACAAGTAACATTTAGAGGGCAGTTCTTTTGAAGAAGGAATTCAAGGCCTCTTTTGTTTGCCGGCTATATCTACGTTGTTTTCTATAAACAGAGACTGTACTTTTCAGTAGGTAAAATGGACTGAGTAGGGCACTCACAGCGAAAACCTTGCATTTAGTTTAATGCTTTGTCTTGTGCTTATTGAATGTAGGAAGACTTTAACTTGGCACTTAGCGAAACTGTTACTTTCATAAAAGAACTGCTTTTTCTCCCAGATGTTGAGGCAACATCCTCCACTTCAGGCAACGTGCTTTAACCTTTAAAAGCAGTGGCACCGCACAATCTCGGTATTGACTGTGTCTGAGAAATAGGAGTCTACTACCCACATAAATTCATTTAACAGTCAGGAAAAGATGGGGTAATTTTGACTGCTTTTCTCCCACATTATGTGTGGCTGGATTATGGGCTTTATTATATCGAGAAGGGATGAACATTTTTGAACTTTTTCCTTACCAGGGAGCAACCTTCACGTTCTTAATCCCTGGACCTATGTCTAATATTAATATACAGTGTCCAGACTTCTGGGAAAGGGAGAGTGAGAGAGACCTATATATTTAAGGATGGCAAATTCCTGACCTTGTATGGAAACCATAGTGAGCATGTATATAATGCAAGTCTGGTGACAAATGCTCAACCATAATAGGTTTCTCAGTAGAAATATTTTAAAAATTATTACTTGTTAGAATGATTTGGAAGTTGTTGGTAGAATGATGCTCTGTCAGATACATTCTTGCACCTTTTAGATTCCTGTGGGGGGAGGGGTTGGGGACCAACTTCAATGTCTGGTTTCTTAAAGGATCCCTAACATTTGTTTTTAGTCTGTCATATCTCCAAACATTTGATATGAGCCAAGTTGTGTTAGCTCAGTGCGCATGCGTGGTCAGGTTGCCCATGGGCAGAGTACTGCATGGCCCAGAAGAACATGCATCTATGTTGAGTAACCTTAGATAAATTATCAATGTGCTGGCACTGTGCTTTTGGGGACATTTCCATAATGTCGAAGATGATAACCTATGATACAGTACAGGGTTCCCAAACTAGAACAGTCTTGTTTTAGAATCTGGGACAGTTGGGAATGATGGCTTTAGCTATCACTTTCTTTAGCCTTGTGGGAAGGGGTTAAGGACTGTTTGCTTTTTTCTTTTTGAAATTCTGTATTATCACAGGTAATTTTAAGTTTGGCTGTTTAATTTCTGCTGTTTTCTCATGTGACTAGGAATATATTAAAGCTGGTGGAATTATTCAAGAAGATATATCTTCTGCATGTTTAATTGTGGGAGTTAAAAGACCTACAGAGGAGAAACTCATCCCCAAAAAGACATATGCCTTCTTTTCACACACCATTAAAGCTCAAGAGGCCAATATGTCCTTATTGGATGAAATCCTAAAATTGGTAAGTCAAAGTTTTTAATTATGCATTAAATGTCTAGCTACCAACTTGTTTTATCTATATTTTATTTTTTCTTTCTACATTTTATTATTGTAAGTTTTTATCAGTTACTAACATTCTGTAAAGCTTTTTAAGGTGTCATATCGATAACTCTGAGATAGTTCTGTAAGCAGAAACCGTGTGCTATGAGCAAAGAATTGCTAAACAAAGATGTAGACTTACTGAAAATCAAAGAATATTGGGGTCCCTGGTTAAGGGATACTCTAAGCACCAAAACATTTTTAGCTTAATGAAGTAGTTTTTGTGCGTAGATCATGCCCCTGCAGTCTTACAGTTCAGTTTTCTGCTATATAAGTATTAAAGCAGCTTTGTCACTTTCTGGGGACTTTACGTATGTTGGAGACCTCACATGGTGACTACTCTGCTTCCAGTGCGGTGGCCTGGAGATAGGGTAGTGTGTGGTATTTTTATTTTTTTTTATTTTTTTTTACTTGCCTGAACTTGTCCTTCGTGTCTGTCGCCATCGCCTTCTGCAAGGTCCTCTTGGCGATTCACCTGTAAAGAGTTTATGTCAATGCTATATATGAAATGCTCATTTTTGGGGGTGGGCGATGCTTTTAAATAACTGTTTCTGTTTATGCAGCCCTAGCCACACTTACCCTGGCTGTGAATCACACAGCTTCAATTTAAAAAAAAAAAAAAAAAAAGTTTAATTTTTAGTCATATGTGGCAGGACAGTTATAAGCACACTAAACTGTGTGTTTACTTTAGAAGTTTTTATCTTCTGCTCTGTTAATTGAATCTTAATCACACACGAGCCTTCTGTAGGCTATTAACAAAACAGGAGATAAGAACTTCTAAATTAAACAGACTGTGCAATAAAGGAACTGTAAACATTAGATCTCTCTTTACAGGAAATGTGTAGGGAGACTGTGTAGATCATTTGCAGGGGGTGTGTGACTAGGGCTGCATAAACACAGGGATTTAACTCATAAATAGCAGAGAATTGAGCAGTTAGACTGCATGAGCATGGTCTACACACCTATGCCACTCCCATTAAGCAAAAGTTATTTTAATGCTTGTAGCATCCCTTTTTAAACGTACATATTGTGGTATGGGTCTTCTTTTGACCCTAATAATCTTTATTTGGTGTCCCTTTTAATCATAGGGTTTCTATATGCTAACAGCCAAGGCCTCTTATCCAATAAAGCCAATGGGGGAAACCCTGAACATGTCAATGCCATTGTAGTATTAGGAAATCGTGTGTGCATGTGCAGTATTGCCATGATGGGTTCCAGTAACATGCAAAAAAAAAAGCAGTGGGAATACCGAAAAAATGTAAATTGGTCTCTTTTGCTTCAATGGGGAAATGAGTGGCATGACTAGTAATGAGTATCCCGATCTGTACACTTGCTGTAATCTCTTTTGACAAATGAATGAAGTTAAGTAGGCCGGAGAAGAAAAACCTTTATGTGACCTCTTATGTTTATATATCTTTTTTATTTAACCTTGTCATATATTTTTCTTATTTTGTTTAGGAAATCAGACTGATTGATTATGAAAAAATGGTGGATCACAGAGGCTTTCGTGTTGTTGCTTTTGGACAGTGGGCTGGAGTAGCCGGTATTTACGTTTTGAGTCTCAATCAGCAATAACCAATTATTTTTTTTTTCTTTAATTGATTACTTATAAATAACGACACTACTAACAGCAGTTGAATTTTACCATATTCTGTGCATGACATCTCTTTCTGAGCGTAGTAAGGAGTGCTCCTACTAAAATGTGATGGTGGTTACTTGGCAAACAGCCAATGGTTTTCATGAAAATTAGCAATTGTCATGGATCCTCCTCCAAAGGATGTGTGTTTGATATCCTAATTGGAAGAGGCGTAATTTCTCTTAATTAAGTCTATTTGATGGCTTACTGTCAGAGTTGGCTAGAGGATCCTAAGCAAAGTGAGAGGCTGTAACCTAACAAAGGCAAAGACAGAGGGATAGTAAGAGTCATTTACCAGATCTTAGAGTGGCCAGACTTAAACGTAGAATAAGAACCAGGAAAAAATGGGACTAGACTACACAAATCATTCAGGCCTTAGAGGAACACAAGAAAACTGAAAATAAACAAAACTGTGTACCAGTCCAAAAAATACAGGCTCATATAGGGTCCAACAGGCCAGAGTCATAATTATGACAAACAGGTTAATCCCACAAGCCAGGTCTGACACAAATCCAGGAGATCACAAATTGTCAAAGGATACGCCTGGTCAAAACCAGGAGCTCAGTCATAAGCACACTAAAGGCTCAGAAAGCATGAAAGGGCCCAGAGACGCCAGAGATCTCTGTTTAAGTAGGGAGATTCTGCACGTGGTTGGCTCTGCTTCCTGGGAGTAATCAGCAAGAAGGGCAGCATCTGTGCTAACAGGTGCCCTACAGAATAAACAATAATTCGATTAAAAGTAACTGGTATGCTTTCTGGAATTTTCCCAGGAGTCTAGGTTTCACATTAGCACAGAATGCAAAACAGAGGCTCAAGTCCCACTGGAGGTAGGTTTCCAGACCCTTTTTATAGTTATTTTAGGTCAACAAGTTGAACTTTCCAACTTGATTAGATTTCAAGTAGTGAAACTCACAAATTCAGATTTTTGTTTTTTTGGTAAATTTTGCTGGCATGCGTATGGAAGAGGCACAAAGGAGCCAGTTCAAACTGGGTTGGCAGTGTCCCTGCAGTTTAATTATTTTTCATTTATTTTGAAACTCAGGGAAGCATGTGGATATTCGTTAATTTATTAAGTATAAATCATGTGCAGACAAAGCAAAGCTGGTGTAACCTCACACAAATAACTAATACAAGCTCGATCTAAAACACTCCTTTCTTTAATTCAGGGATGATCAACATGCTGCACGGTTTAGGCTTGAGGTTTCTTGCACTGGGACATCATACTCCATTTATGGTAAGTTCAAAGTACCAAACTATAATGTGTGTTTGTGAAGGTGTGCAATGGAATTCTATAGATACAGCATTGCAGTAGATTAAATAGAACATTCAGCATACATACCAGTAGATCATTTGTGCTTACAGTTATGACTATTTGTTACAACTCTGTCTTGTTCCAGCATATCGGGATGTCTCACAACTACAGGAACAGCAGTCAAGCCGTGCAAGCAGTGAGAGATGCAGGTTATGAAATCGCCCTTGGCTTGATGCCCAAATCCATTGGGCCACTTACTTTTGTGTTCACTGGAACAGGAAATGTTTCTAAGGTGTGTTGCGTAAAAACATTTTTGAGCATGCCAATGTTTTAATTACACAGAACAATAGAAAGGGTTCTTGGGTGGGGGGAGGGGGAAGAAGAAGACAACTGTCATCAAATTTTCATTTCTCATTTTTCAAACGTTTACATTTTGAAACTTCTTTTTTTTTTTTTTAAAGGTTTATTACATTTAATAAAACTTTAAAGGAACACTGCACTGCCTAAATACAAAAATAAATTAATCATTATTATAATCTCATTGGGGGTATGTCTAAAAACAGCCTACAAAAGCTTCAGATCTCGTCTGAAGCATATGTAAGCCCCCAGGGTCGGTGCAATCATAAGGCGGCACAGGCAGCGGGGGGCACATTCTTCAGGTGACTGACAGTAGTGCAAAGCACTCCAACTTCTGACAGTCACGTCATGTAACATGGCCACCGTAGAGGATCTTCTGTGTTACCATCTCAGTCTGACAGGAAGTGTACACTGAGAGAAACCAATTGCTTCTGGGTAGATTATACAATAGATCCTCTAACGTAGTCCGCATGGCAGTGCTACCAGAAGGTAAGCAGGCATAGGAGGGGGGAAGGGACACACAGGGGAGGGGACAAAGACACAGAGGGCTGGGGGAGAAAAGAGACACACAGAGGAGGGTTGGTGGAGAGAACGAGATGCACCACAATGGTGCTACAGGGAATGAAGAGACAAATATTAAAATTGGTCTGCAAAATTAACGAATTCTTACAATATTATAGTATAAAAATATATATAAAGAAAATATTCCCCAGACAAGTGGTAGAGGTTAACACCGTAAACGAGTTTAAGCATACGTGGGATATGCATAAGGCTATCCTAACTATAAGCTAAGGCAAGGGACTAATGAAAGTATTTTTAAAAATTGAGCATACTAGATGTGCCGAATGGTTCTTATCTGCCGTCACATTCTATGTTTCTATGTTTCTTCTAAAAAAAAAAATAAAATAAAAAAATGATCACTACTTAGTAGATAAGTGCCCAATCAGAGTGTGTTAAGTGTCTAAAACACTAAATTGAACCAGTGATTTTGTGGTAAAATCTAAATACACAAAATAATACTTGCAAACATGGGAAAGTCCACAGTAAGAAGAATCTAAAAAAAAAATAAACAGAACACCTAGTGCAATATTATCTGGACATAATATATAAAATAATCCAATAATTAAAGCTCACAAATATAGAGTGGTTGAAGTACCACTCGGGACTATAAAGCTCAGGGAGGATCAGTCACTCGTGTACGCAGGATCCAGTGGATACACTTTTAGCCGGACTTTTCATTAAAACAGACTTTATTCCAAAACCATTTAAAAAAAATTTAAAATTCAAAGCAAAGAGCAGCAGTGTCCCAGGTCAGCTCACCAGCCTACATTGTAGTGTGACATCTGTCAGAGGTATGTACGTAAATAATACTGTTCTCTTATCTCCCTTTCGGCTTGGCTGCTTTCTCCGGTATGAGCTTGCTCTAGACTTCCTGATTCCGGCGCGTTTCGGCCCTCATCCTGGGGCTTTTTCAAACGTCCAAGGAATGGGGAATGAAGAGACACAGAAAAGGGCCAGGGATGGATCCAGAACCAAATCTCAAATGGGGCACTGATGCTGGGCTGTGGCAGGGTGAGAAGGGCTGTAGCGGAGACATAGGAGGCTCTAGTGTAGGGGATCGGAGGCTGTACACATATGCAAACACCCAGAGGGACATGGAAACACAATAATACACAAATACACACAGACTCAAACATATACCTTCACAGACATATACACTGATACAAACCTATGCCTACACAGGCACACACACAGATACATAACATGTATACCTACGCTTACACACACTGAAGTAACAATCACTTCCTCCCAGTGCACTGTGCAACATTAAAGGGGCCTGTCTGCCAAATGACTGCAGCACCCTATCGGGCCCCGATGAGGTGGTTCCCCTATGGGAGCTGCACTATTTTCTCGAGGTGGGTAATTGCCCTGTTGCGCCCCTTCTGGATCTGCTACTGAATAGGGATGGATGGAAGAGACACTTACATGGCCTAGGGGGAGTAATAGATGCACAAAGGAGCTGGGGGGAGTAAGACATACAAGGGGATGTAAGACACAAAGGGGCAAAAAAGGACATACACTAAATGGGGGAAGACATTCAAAAGGGGATAAGAAACATAAAAAGTGGTGAATATCAAGAGACACCAATCACAGACTTCCCAATGCAGTTAATTGAGAAGTCTTTACAAGGCAGGTGTTCAGGGCAATTGGTGCCTCTTGAGTTTAGCGCCACTGAACTAAACAACCAGGAAGAAACAGGATCAGTTGTCACACATAAAGCACTTCAGCAAGCTTAAGTGCTTCAGGCGATCTTTAGTGTCTCTTTTTAATGAGAGATGAATATATGTGTGTGTACACTGATAAGCCACAACATTAAAACCACTGGCAGGTGAAGTGGAGAACATTGATTATAATGTTACAATGGCACCTGTCAAATACGGGATATATTGGGTAGCAAGTGAACAGCCAGTTTTTGGAGTACATGTGTTGGAAGCGGGAAAAATGGACAGGCAAAAAGATGTGAGTGACTTTGACGGTGATGGCTAGATGACTGTCTCAGAGCATCTCCAAGTCTTGTGGGGTCTTCTCGATATGCAGTGGTTAGTACCTACCAAAAGTTATACAATAAAAGTCAACCAGTGAACTGATGTCAGGGTCATAGGCACCCAAGTCTCACTGATGCACATAGGGAGTAAAGACTAGCCCGTCTGGTCTGATCACTCCGAAGAGCTACGGTAGCTCACATTGCTGAAAAACGTCATGCTGGCCATGATAAAAAGATGTCAGAACACACAGTGCATCACAGCTTGCTGCGTAGCTGCAGACCAGTCAGAGTGCCCATGATGACCCATGTCCACTGCTGAAATCACCTTCAATGGGGATGAGAGAATCAGAACTGAACCATGGAGCAATAGAAGAAGGTTGACTGGGGAAGAGATGGCAGCAGGATGCAATATGGGGAAAAAGGTAGAGCCGCAGAGGCAGTGTTATGCTCTGGGCAATGTTGGAGATTGTTGCAGACCACCCTTCCATACTAACTTGGTGCCAGATACAGGACACGTTCAGAGGTCCATGCCTTGATAGATTTATTTATTTATTTTTTTAAAAGATTCTAATAACTTTTGTATATAAAAAATAATAATATTAAAACAAGGCCAAAGTTTGAAAACAAAATAACCAAGTTGGAATTTTTTTTTTTTGGGGGGTAGGGGGGAGGGGTTTGGGGGTGCTGAAATTGCAATGAAAGCCATCAAATTGACTCCATTCAAGAAATGGAGCCTCTTCCAATTATATCAAACACAAATCCGTGGGAGGATCCATGACCAATCAGCCTGATATACTGATTAGGTTTCAGAAACTTTCACTTTATATAATATTTAAAAATAGTTGTTTCATGAAATGCAATAAACTTTGTTTTTTTTTTTTTTTAAAGAAACAAGTACAATTCTGATGGCAGTTGTCCTTTAAGGGGGGATTTATCAATGCAAAACAGTTGCTATTCTGGGTGCAAAGTTCTAAATGTTGAGAAAAATGCTATTGGTTTCCATGGTGATAGCTCCTGAGTTCTACTTGCTGCTCAGTTTGTATTTTTATCCATAATAGCACCTGTTGATACTCCCCCAAAATCTACAATTAGGAAAGTGGGTAAAACTCTATTGCAATCACTGTTTATTCAAGTTTTGAGATAATTGTATTCAAGTTATGTAACTGATCACACAATAAAATCAGTTTAACTGTTCAATGAATTCATATTGTCACATAATTTGTTTCATATGTCGGAACTGAAACCATGGACAAACATCTGACTTGTATTATTTGTTTTACAATTCTTTTTTGCTTGCCTTTCCAAAGTTGCTTTCTCTAGACGTGTTCTAGATTACTCAAAGATCACATAAAATGGGCAATGGGTCAATTGCAAAGAGCAGGAAATAGAAGGGAGAAAATAATGTTCAATTGAATTGGACTGAGTGGTACTGGTCAGGAGGAATTAATTTTGGGGTCATGAAGGAACAAAAGGCATTTGTAATTGGATGGAGGTGTATGAGGAGAGAGAACCAAGGGTGTCTGTGTACAAGGTTAATTAATGAAGACTGCTGTCAAAGTGGACCCTAGCCGTCTCCTTGGTGAAATAGGCAGTTAAAAGGAGATGAGTCTTGATCGGGGGCGTATGGGCTGCAGTATTTGAAATCTGGGGATATTGGAGGAGTGAATACGAAGACTACATAGGGGAGAACTGCAGTAGTGAAACTTGATTAAGAGGATTTTGAGGTCATAAGTTGAGGATATTTTATGGTCAATTGGATTTTTTTTTTTTTTTAAAAGCTGAAATATACAATACATCTCATTGAATAGGCAAAAACAAATACTTAGGAGGGTGAGGAACATTTTTAGAGATTAAATGGATTTAGGTTAATTATAATGAAGGGGAGTATGTATTAATAAACACAAAGTGAAGATTCAAAGATGAAATAGGCTTTCAGCTGGGTTTGATATCTGGTTCTTGGATGTCCTAACCTAACACCTTCTGCTGAGAGGTTGGAGGTGGTGTTGGGTGTGAACGAGGAGAAAAATATGTGGATGTCTTAAGGAAAGAACTAGGATTAAAAGGGTCTGTGTAAAGCGAGAAAATAACAGATAAATACAGAGCCTTAAGTTATTCCAAATGGAAAGAGATGAACTATTATAAGAATGAATAGGAGTGGTTATCAATGTAAATGAAAACCTCTGAGGATATTTTTTGAGGGTTCACCAGGAGCACATTGTTGGTGAAATATATATTTTATTTTATGGGTTATTCACTTTTCTTCTAATAACTTTTTTTTTTTTTAGCACATAGTTTTAATGACCATTCCAGCATTTTTTTCTAACATACTAAATGCTGTGAAGCCATAACATAAAATCCATACTTTGATTTCTAAAACTCTCTTTCATGCAAAACATACCTCTGTGTATCGTCCAAAATTGAATCACTAACCAGAGGCCCAGTGCAGGAGTTATGATCCTCATGAAATATTTTATTTTTTTCTCAAACCTGGTCACATATTCTCCTTGGAAAAGTCCCTATGTGATGTTTACCTTTTGTGGTGCACAGTTTGTAGAAACCAAACTGGACAAGCCTCATTGGGGGCTGGAGAAATAGATGGTAGAGTCAGTGCCCTTGGTTCTGTTTTGGGTACAGCTTATCCTTCTAATTATGTACTATATCTAATATAATGGGATGCAATAACATGTAACATTTCTTACTATATAATTTTTGTCTCTTAGGGGGCACAGGAAATTTTTAATGAACTTCCCTGTGAATTTGTGGAACCCCATGAATTGAGAGAAGTTTCCAAAACTGGAGGTAATTTAATTTCCATCAAATAGTTTGTGTTAATAAATAATTTCAAAATACTGACTCTATGTCCTTCTAGATCTCAGGAAGGTATATGGAACTGTGCTTAGCCGCCATCACCATCTTGTCCGGAAAACTGATGGTGTATATGACCCCATGGAGTATGAAAAGAATCCAGAGCTGTACACTTCTCGCTTTAATACTGATGTAAGGATTTCATTTCTAGGTTTTGAATACTCAATGTGTTAAGTTGCAGGGATTGTAGCCTTATTAGTCCAATGATGCAGATGTAAAAGAACAAATTAAATAGTATCTTGTAATACCCTTTTTAATTTTTTTATTTTTTTTTTATTTTTATTGGACTAACAGAAATTTGGAATTACAAGCTTTTGGGAGAGCCTCCCTTTTACAAGACAAGACATTCTTTAGAAAGGATTGAATGTTTGTTGTTCCAAAATTATGTTAGTCCAGTACAAGATACTAATTTTAATCCATTATTTTACATATATAATATGTATGTCTCATGCCTCTGCCACCCTTGTTGCCATTTTACTAGTGCAAGTCCTGGAAGGAATGTGACCATATCAATGAGAAGTTCTAAGTTTTTCTGCCCCTGTGTTTGCTAAACATTTTGCTAAATCCATCATGCTGTGATGCATGACGAGCAGGAAGTCAAATTTGCCCTGTATGCCATGATGTTTGTGGCCACAGTAAGCCATTAAAGAATCAAGACCGTATCCGATTTACGTACATTAGTAGAATGACTTTGGCACCTCTGATTTTTGGAAACAACCTGTACATTCACCCGTTAAGGTTTGCTAAGACTCTTTGAATATATCATTCAAAAAGTGTGGGGATCCAAACATAGTTATCACATCAGTTTGCATTTCAATTTATATGCTCCAAATTTAACAAATGAGGTTAATGTGCTGCCTGCTCACCATTTGCATGTGTTTTCTTTTTTATATAATAAAGATTGCTCCTTACACAACGTGTCTAATTAATGGTATTTACTGGGACCCACATACTCCCCGCTTGCTTAATAGACAAGATGCTCAGAGGTTGCTGGCTCCAGTCAAATCCACTTCAGTTGCCACAGCAGGCTGTCCACAACTCCCTCATAAGTAAGTATGTTCCCTAATTCCCTTTCACAATATTATTTAAAGAACTCAAAGAGCATGTAGAGGGGCAGTGACTGGCAAAGTGAGGTGGAGAAACCTTATCTTGGTCTCCAGGAGACCCCACAAGTTTCCTTATCTTTTTTTCTTTGTATTTCATATATTTTTGTTGTGCTTCCTAGTCATTGTAGTGGCTGTGTGTACATAATTGCTATTAGAAAGCAGTATGGTTGATCATTAAAGCATCATGTGAGCAGCTTCAATTGTGTCCAGAGACGTAACCTTGTTTCCATCAGCAGGTGACCATCCACCATCCCCTTCTCTCATTTCACAATTCTGAACCAGGATAAGTGTAGGATAAGGTCATGATAGTCTACAAGAGCAGAATGTGTTTGTGTGTTTATATTTGGTATGTAAAGCTTGGAGATAAAAATATATATATATCTCCAAATATTCATAAAGGAGTGCACTCACAGGACTGTAAATCGATCTTTTCGACCCCTGAGGGTCTTGGTCAAGACCCTCAGGGGTCGAAACGTTGGTCGATTTACAGATGTTATTGTTCTTTACCTTTTGGATTAAAAACACCATTTAAGAAAAATAAAAACAATGTTCAAGTCCTGTGAGTGCACCCTTTATGAATATTTGGAGATATGTGAACGTGGGTAGCACCTAGGCTATATTTACAAAATTTAATTTTTTTTTGTCAGGAGAGTACTAAGCTGATTTATTTGTTATATACCTCCAAGCTTTATATATATATATATATTTTTTTTTGCAGTATTCACAATCTTTATTTGCAGGCTTCTAGCCATCGGTGACATTTCTGCGGACACTGGAGGATCCATAGAATTTATGACGGAATGCACCAGTATTGATACACCGTTTTGTATGTATGATGCAGATCAGCATATCATTCATGACAGGTGGGAAACCTAGACTATATTTTCTGTTTAGAATTTTGCTGCAAATTGGTTTATTAACATTTTAATGTTTTATTGATTTCTTTTTCTTTTTCACTCCAGTGTTGAAGGTTGCGGCATCCTCATGTGCTCTATTGATAACTTACCAGCCCAACTCCCAATAGAGGCTACAGAGTATTTTGGAGACATGCTATTTCCTTATATTGAAGAAATGGTAGGAATCTAATACAGTCTGAGATTCTCTAAATGATTACAGTTTAGTTTCTTTCAGAATTTTCATGCTGCAGGTCAAAGTAATAGCCAGTAAATGCCGTGGGAATTAGATGGAGGGATATTTTCTGACCGTATTCCCCCTTCCAAATAATATCCAACTGTCTAAGCTGTGCTGTGGGGAAGGGTATTCCCATATTCAAATTTTGGGAGGTTTTGTAGTATTTCTTAAAATGCAGAACAAGAATAATAAGGTTGGTTGGGAACTTTTTAAAGTCTGATCCCTTTTATGGTTATATGGTTAGCGACAGAGGGTTGGGGGAAGACAAAGGCTTCTGAAATCATGGATCACTTTTTATTGCATTTTTTTTTTTTTTTAAAGTGATAGTGTCACTTGACCGCCAATTTTTGGAGTTGTAGATTCACAGAACAGCCATTCAGCAGAGGTGGCATAGGCTGGTCAATCAAATAACGCTTGGGTTGATGGCTGTACTGGGGAGAAAGCAAAAAAAAAAATGGTCCTTGAAAACCAATGAACACCATCATTATCCTGGCTGCAGGGCCGCCATCAGGGGGTGACAACCGTGACTGTTGTCACGGGCCCGGACTGCTCTGGCAGTCCTGGGCCCCACTTTCTTTCTCTGCACACATAGATAGTGAATATCGCTATCTATGTGCGCGGGCCCCGGCTCCCTGTTACCGCAGAGGGGGCCCAGCACACAGCTTCTCCTCCTCTCTTCTTTCTTCTAAAATTTTTTGCGAGACCCGGTTACCATGGCAACGCTCCGCGGGTCTCGCAAGAGTTATTAGAAGAAAGAGAGGAGGAGAAGCTGTGTGCTGGGCCCCCTCTGCGGTAACAGGGAGCCAGGGAGCCCCCCATGCCACCGGACCACCAGGGATCATGGAATCTCCCCCTCCCTGGACACAGGTAAGAAACAGGGAGGGGGGAGAAACATTTAATTAAATTAATAAAAAAATAATGTTAAAATGCCCCTTCCCCCTCCCCCCCAGATTGCACATTTATACACTAACACAACACACACACACACTGCATACACTAACACAACACACACACCGTATACACTAACACAACACACACACACACCGCATACACTAACACAACACACACTGCATACACTAACAGAACATACACTAACACAACACATACACTGCATACACTAATACAACATACACTCACTGCATCCACTATACTGACACATACTCTGCATTCACTATACTGACACATACTCTGCATTCACTACACACTAACACACTCTCTGCATTCACTACACTAACACACACTCTGCCTTCACTACAGATTTACACACACTCTGCATTCACTGCACTAACACACACACAGCATCTACTTCACAAACATCCTGTATTCACAGGACACACACTACATCCTCCACACATTGAAACACTCTGCATTTACTATACAGACACTGCGTCTAATACACGCACAACATCCACTACAGACACTGCATCCACTAAACACATTTCATCTAGTACATACAAACACTACATCCACTACACAAACACACACTATATCACTGTACACACACTATATCCACTACTCAAACACACTCTGCGTTCAATATACACACTGCATCTGCTACACAAACACACACTCTGCATTCACTGTACAAACAGTATCTAATACATTACACTAACATACACTCTGCATTCACTGTACAAACAGTATCTAATACACTACACTAACATACACTCTGCATTCACTGTACAAACAGTATCTAATATACTACACTAACATACACTCTGCATTAACTGTACACACAGCATCTACTTCACAAACATCCTGTATTCACAGGACAAACACTACATTAATTACACACATTCTAATTCACTATACACACCACATTCAGTCCAGCATCATTGTCAGCGGACCAGGTACGGCGTGGGCAGGCCCAGGAGGGGGGTCAATTTCAGATTTAGTGAATCTATTAAAAGACTTGACCAGCCAAGAAGAATGTGTTCTCTTTCTTCCAATATAAATACTGTATTAGTCTCTCAATCACATCACAATATTTTTAAAAGTTTGAAATAACGATCTCATTTTTATCAATGCAGCTGAAGTCTGACGTGTCCAGACCCATTGATCAGGAAAACTTTTCTCCTGTTGTGCGAAATGTAAGTTCTCCTATATATGCATCTTAATGAGTATTGCATAAAATATTAAATTACATTTTGTCTATAAAAATGGTGATCTATGTATTGTGCTATTGCAGGCAGTGATTACATCCAATGGTTCGCTCACCAAGAAATACAAGTATATCCAGACGTTGAGAGAGAGCAGGTACACAAATAATGCATTTGCTATTTACTATTCATTTATAATCCTAATATACCTGATTGTAACTATCACATAGCTAACTTGAAGATTCCATGTTTTACATAAAAGGATTCAGTTTGGTTAGAACAAAATTTTGTCTGATTCAGTGCTTTTCTGACTTTCTGATCAGAAATGTATCCAAATTCAGAAATTTATCTGAAACTGAGGAGTAGTTCGAATGGTGAGCCGTTTCGGTTGATTTAAGTTAGTTTTGCCAATAGCCACTTCACTTGGGCATTTGAATTACATGCAGTTTGTTTGTTCGTAGGAAACACGAACGAATGAATTGCAATATGGACGACGAAATGGCAAGCATCGTAGTGAATGTACATGAAAAATCAGTAATACCCTTCAATAATTTGTCCAATTATAAGGAGGGAGCTACCGGCTCTGCTTCCTGCCGCTTCCTTCTCCCAACTGGTAAATCAATTCTACATACTTATTTCAGGACACACATATCCTGAACAAAGTGTGACATGAAACATTATGGGGTGAATCAACATGACCCCCATATAATTATAAGGGAGGTAAACCTCCCTCATGTCCCTACTTGCCATGTTGCAAGGTAGAGGCACGTTAGGTATATGGTGAACAGTCAGTGGCTGTCTTGCTGTCATAAAAGACTAGTCCCTGGGCAGCTATTGTTGTCCAGTCACTAATGCAATAAAGGAGGGATCTGACAGCCCACCCAGCCCCCGACGTGGAGCTACAAATAAATATTAAAGTGAGGGGAACGTAGAGTCCATGGCCAGCGGTTGGGGGCTGTTAAATAAGGTGAAAGGAAGGACCTATTGTTGTGCCCTGGGGGGGATTCCAATTCTAATAATGGGGTCCCAATTATGATAATGGGAGGACCTTGTAAACCAATCAATCAGAGATCTCTGACTGATATTGCATAGCATGGGAAAGCCCTTATAAGGCTTTCGACATCCTGCAAGCTCATCTGCACAGTTTTATTGTGATTTTTGGTCTTAGTTTTTTTTTTTTTTTTATATTTTTAATAATTAGAACCCAAACCCACTGTTAATTGGTGGGGGCATGAAGGGGAATACTATGTCCCCCATTCACTTTTTTTTAATAGCCCCCACCTGCTGTCCATGGATGGGGCATGAGGGGGAACAGTATGTTGCCCCCCCCCCTTTATTAGTTATTTGTAGCTCCACCTTAGGGGCTTGGGGACCTGTGTCAGGTCCCCATTTTTTGTATTGGTGACTGGGCAGCAATAGATGTCCAGTCGCTAGTCTTTTATGACCGCGAGCAACTGCTCACTGTTTAGCAGATATGTCCTTACCAGTGGCATGAGTTAAGTCGTAAACCTTTCTTATTATCAAGCAGAGTCAAATTGAAACCTAACAAGTTTTATTTGCTAATTTAACCCTTAAGGGACTAGGGGAAGAAATTTGTGGGATCTCTGTTCCCTGCCACTTCTATTTTTCACCCCTCATTCAACGGAAGTGAGTGAGAGGTTAAAAATGAAATTGTTTTGGGGCGGGGCCTGTTGACAGGGCGGCCGGGCCGCCTGGAATGAAGGGCCCGGTCGCTGCTGCGACCGCTGGTAGTTCCGCCAGTTGGTATAGGTTAACACAGTGAGGGAGTTTAAGCATGCGTGGGATAGGGATAAGGCCAGGAATTAATAAAAGTATTAGAAAATTGTGCAGACTAGATGGGCCGAATGGTTCTTCTCTGCCGTCACATTCTATGTTTCATGTTTACATGTCTGGTAGCCACTGCCAAGTTTGAGCCACTAATTTTATACTTTCAGGATAGTGTTTTTATTTTTTGTTTGTTAAAGGGACCCTGTAGGCACCTTTTTTGCTTCGTTAAAGGGCTTCCCAGGCAATATTTGGATCACAAAATATTTTTGTGCTGATCAGCTTTCTAAAAGCATTCTTTGTGTTTTCTTTTAATTTTAGTACACAAAGCCTTGCTGTGCTTCGTTATGTAATTGGAATATTTTATTATATGCAGAGAACATGCCCAGCTGATGACACTTGGGTCAAAGAAGAAGATACTGGTTCTTGGATCTGGTTACGTTTCTGAGCCCGTCATAAATTACCTCACAAGAGATCCCAACGTTGAGATTACGGCAGGTATTCCAACTTGTTTAAAATTGTATTTTTTACAACTTATTTACAAATTCAGTAAAGATTTTTGTAATACTTATTGTTCACCTAAAATCACAAATAACCCTCCTTCCCCCCCAGAAAAAAAGTAGACTTGAATGCCTCCAATAAATGCTTGGCACAGTGTTAATTCAGCAGGTTAGCTAAAACATCTAATGTAACATATTACAACATCCGAACCCCCCCTGCTATGACTGACAGCTGTCATTATAAATGTGTCTACTAGGCAATGTGGAGCACATGACATCAGGTGTGGGACGAGTGCAAATTTATGATTCCATATACATTATGTGTGTACCACAGCACTTACAGCTGGGACACGATATGATATGACATGATATATTAAACAAATTTTTAAATGTATCTTTCATATAACATTCTACACCACCACTTTTTTCTTTTATACCCAGGTCCAGATTTAAATCATGAGCGCTTGTATTCACAGAATTCTGCACCGATCACTATGTTCAGTCTGAGGGGACGTGGCCATGCACAGATCACTATGTTCAGTCTCAGGAGACATGGCCATGCACAGATCACTATGTTCAGTCTGAGGGGACGTGGCCATGCACAAATCGCTATATTCAGTCTGAGGAGACATGGCCATGCACAGATCGCTATGTTCAGTCTGAGGGGGTTGGGGCCATGCACAGAATCTATCGATCCCAGAGTCCAGGAGCACCCATAGGCAGCTTCCTTCTCTGCCTAATGGAAGAGGGATACAAACCCTGATTGTATCCCTCTTTGTACCCGTGCTTAAGTTATGCTGTGCCACTTGTACAAAGAATGAACCTTATTGGGACAACTCTGCATGAGTACTCTGCTTGAACACTGCACACACATCCTTTGTAGGTGGAAGGCAAGCAGCATGTAGCAAGCTCCCAAAACCTCTTTTTATACATCATACCCATCGCTACATCTGTTCTGTTGTAATTTTTGTGTGATAATGTTCAAGGGCTTCTTCTCTTGAATATTATAATAATGTGTATATTATAAAGTATAATGAGTGGGACATTTCATTTTTTCTTTTAAAATAATTGTGAGCATGTAACACAAATTTGTCTTGTGAGGCAAAATGTGTCTACTTTTGTTGTTTCATTGATTGCCTGAAAACAAAACAATTTTCCCGTTCAGCTTCAATGGTCAAGGATCAGGTGGATCACCTATCTAAGAAATATAATAACACAACTCCTGTGGCCCTGGATGTGTCCAAGAATGAAGAGAAACTGTCAGATCTAGTGAAGAAACATGACCTTGTGATCAGGTTTGTACTAATTTTTACAGCAAGAACATTTTTAGTAAAAAATTTTACAAAAATTTTTATTCTGTTTTTAGAAATGTCAAACAACTTCAAAACAATTCTTTTATTAAAACAACCCTCATAGATTATATAAAGATACAGAGTAATCAATGTGGTGAGGGAGAGCTTCTTGAGATGTAGACTTTAGGTGGGGACTTTGTATTTATGTAGAGCAGAAGATGTTCTTGTGGGTGGAGAGGGTGAATTTCTAGCTAAGCTTGGAAGCAGAATTTCTGGTCAACTGACCAGGTAGTGTTGGAGTCTGTCTCAGAGAGTCTTGGTATAAAACCATCATTTTCAGATGTGTCTACAAAAGTGACATGTGGACGTCATTATGCTTTCATGTGCACCAACATTTTCATCTTGACGATTTCTGTATATCTGCCTGATAGCCCACAACATGGCCAAATTAAAGCTTTAATGAAGTGCAACCTCTGCATTTATGTTGTGGATCATATAACTCTACATCCATGGTCCAAACCTGTTGAGCTAAGCATTTCACATAAATCATGCACAGCGTTTTCTCTTACACACAATTTCTACTTATGTCCTTATATTCTGTTTTTCTTTTTTTTGTGGTGTGATTTGCTAACCATCAAGTCTATTGTTCCTTTTCAGCCTTCTACCATACTTGGCTCATCCCCTTGTGGCAAAGGAATGTATAAAGAACAAAGTTAATCTAGTGACGGCAAGTTATCTAACACCTTCAATGAAAGAACTCCAGCAAAGGTAAAACAAAAAACAAGATTGCCTGTTTTGTAATCATTTGTTTCCTAAAGTAATAATCTAGATTATTTCTAAACTTCTCAGGGCTAATTGTCACCTAAAGGTTTCCTATATTTTATTTTCCTGTTGCACTCAATCTCAGTAGGTAAGTAGTAAAGAAGCTCTGCTGTAAAAATGCCCAAACTTGCTAATTTCATTATTATGTTTTTAAATCTAGGCTAGTGAGCTTGCTTCTCATTGTGTTGTCTACCTGTTACACAATTTCCAGCTTTTTAGCCACCTTTTGTAGGGTTATTTGTCAAACCTGGGAGTGTACCTGTCCATCCTGTCACAGCTTTGCTCACATTACATGGACATGTCCTGCAGATATGGCTTTTTCCTTGATGACCTTTAATTTTTCACAACTGTGCATACACAGTGCATGTTTTCTAGCAAGTGAAAAGTGCTGGATAGCCGGCAGGTGGTATGTCACATTGCCAGCGTTAAATGATAACAACCTAACACATTATATGAGTCTATATAGAAATTATATATCACAGTGGACCTTGCAACATTTTTCTGAATTAAGTTCTTTGTCTATTCAAGGTTTGACAAAGACCATAACTGGTCAAAATGTAGTCATGTCCAATGTGGATGGTGAAATAAATTTAATGTCTATATATACTAGTTTGTTCTGCCTTCTTTATTACTTTCTGAGGTTTTGGGCCAGGATATGACTCTTATTGCTGGCCCATGCCTACACTATGTGAAAACGGTCATGTACCGCTCCCATATTGGACTTTACATTGTAAGGGTTGTTCCAACCAATCAGGAGTCTTATTCAGTCTTATCTCTTATCAAGAGATATGATTTCCAAAGTCATATCTCCTTGACCAACAGCGTGTCAGTTACCAAACCTTTCTCTAAAACAGCAGGTGTTGGCTAAATAACACGCATGTGTATATTTTACAGATTATTGGATTGATTGTGAATGTTTGTTCGTTTATTTATTTTAAAAAAAACTTTTGTTATGTATTACAGTGCAGAAGATGCTGGAATTACTATAGTTGGTGAAATGGGCTTGGATCCAGGTCTTGATCACATGTTGGCCATGGAATGCTTTGACAAGGCTAAGGATGTTGGGGCAAAGGTAAAATATATAATTTGTGTTCTATCTATGAAATTTTGTTGTGACCTGTTCTCACTTTGCTATTGTATCTACTACAAAATTTATTTTACATTTCAATAATGTTTTTGTTGCTTGCCGTAGGTGGAATCCTATAGATCGTTTTGTGGAGGTCTACCTGCACCTGAATATTCAGACAATCCTTTGAGGTATAAGTTCAGCTGGAGCCCATTGGGTGTTTTGTTAAATACCATTCAACCTGCAACATACCTGAAGGATGGAGAGGTAATTTGGGGAACCTGTAAAGAAATTAGAAAGTGCAACATGTATATGTGACCAGATAATGTTTATTGATGGATTTTGTAACAAGCAAACATTGTGACCCCGTTCCAACTTCTGTCATTGCCTACATTCATGCTCAAAACAAGAAAATACAGTAGAAGGTTCTTCTAAAATGATACTGTATAACAGAAAAGATCCTATCTATTATACTCTGCAATTAGGAGAAAAATAAGTGATGGAAGAATTTGCGTCTTCAACAAGGGCGTAATTATTTTCTAGTCTTAATGAAAGGTTTCTAAATTGTATCAATCATGATTAACAGAGTGTATCACTGAGTAATATATTGTTATATCCAGTGTACGTATTGTCCTGTGTGACCCTGTTGGTTTCATTATTTCACTGTGTCACAGTACCTACCCAGTTGATGTACTGCTCTGGCATTCATGCCTCACAAGCATCGATCTAGAAACCGCACCTTCCAGTTCTCTTTTCCTTTATCAATCGGTAAAACAAATTCTATTGAGTTTTCTGACAGGGAGAGGGACACTGTATGATTGGAGCACCCCTCTACTTATACTAATGTTATGCCTAGCATCATTTTGGGTTCCAGGAGGCCATCATTGTGACCCCGTTCCAGCAGTTTTTGGTGTCTCATCTCAGTCCATCTCAGTGTTTAAATAAAGTTTTCAGTCTTTGCCCTGTTGTGGTTCTCTTTTGGTTCCCCGTATAGTGCGTTATATATTCTCTGATTTTTCTGGTTATTTGATTTTGGGTTGTTTATTGACCTTCCTCTGTAATCCTGACCTGGCTAATTCTATCATATTCCCGTATTTCTCAAATCTTGATCTCAGCTAAGGTCCATTGAGACATCATTTCTGTCTTCCAATTTCTGGCCAATACTTGTAAGTTGGGTAGTGTAGCCATGACATTATGACAGGGCCCTGGACTCTGCAGGTGTAGGTCAATAGATGAGGTATATGGACCAATTCGATCAGGCTTTACAGAACGTGTTAACACGTACGACTATTTGTCTCCTGAGAGTCAAGTGCCTTCTCAGATGGGGATCTAGAAGTGTAGATATAATTTATATTCCTCACATTAAATTATGAGGTAGATTTTACCAACAGTGCTTTATTAAGGTTGCTGCCAGGAAGCTCCCAGAAGACCTTGATGATCTTATGGGGGCTATATGAGGCATAAGGATAATAAGCATGGTAGACCTAAACATCTGATAGCGATAGTCTCTCAAACACTTGAGGTGGGTTTGTGAGGTAACGTGCAAAAAGTACCTCTTGGCCACGGTTAAATATGGTGGTGTTTTGAGGCTGTTGATTTTTTTTTTTGCCAGAGAACCTGGACATTTTGTTAGATAGAGCCATGATGCCATGTATCCTATCAAATAACAACAGATATTAAATTAACACATGACTGCCTCTGCCAGAAAGCTTAAAATGGGTCATGATTGTATCTTCCAGCAGTACAATGATCCAAAAATTACATCAACATCAACACAAAAATGGTTTACTGACCACAAAATCAAGCTCCTGCCATGGCCATCCCAGTCCCCTGACTTGAACCCCATAGAAAATCTGTGGGGTGAACTGAAGAGGAGAGACCACTAGCGTCAACCTTATAATTTGAAAGATCTTGAGAGATTTTGTATGTCTCAAGTCCCTTCCATGTGTTCCCAACCTCATCTGGAATTAGAGGAAAAGACTCAGAGGCAACGGGAGGTAGCACAAAGTAATGACTAAAAGGAGTGCCAAACAATTATTTTGGATTAACTTTGTTGTGTTTGCTCTCATGGATATCAAACAATTGCATAACATTTTTGTATAATTTTTTCAGACTTATCTCACCCATAAGGGCAGTCCAGATCCGAAATGCTGACAAGTTTTTTTGGGTTTTTTTCTGCAATGTATTTTGAGACCTGAGCAGGGACTAGCAAAATGGGATTACTACTGTGGTTACGCTAAACATCTTCCTGATCTCACTCTTTTTGCCTGAAAACACAATGTGTTTGTTTACTAGAGACACCGCATGGAGCTTACTGCACTATGTACCTGTATATTAATATTTGGTATTGAGCTGTGTTTAAAGTAACTCTTTTATCTCACTAAAGATAATTACGACTCCAAAAAATATTGGCTATATGTGTAGTTTTCATCTGGAAAAAGTTTAAAAAAAAAAAAAAAAAAAACATCAGTAAGTGGCCATGGCCATGTCACTCTCAAAAGAATATTGTGCTAAATTGATGAGACAAAATGCATTCACATTGTGCTATTATGTTCTAACCTCTACAACATTTGTATATCTTACTAAAACAAAGCACAGTAAGTCTAAATTAAATTCTCAGCAGAGATCACTTGAAATGTGGCTTAGTGTTTATAAAATGTCATTACATTGGTTGTATATGACTAAAAATATTTGGTAAATAAATGAGAAATTGTAAGGACTTTTTCACCCCCCTCACACCAGTGGTTCTTACATTTCTTTTTTTTTTCTTTTCTTTATATGTATAAAATGATACCTTTGTTATTGGACTAACATAATATATCAAAGACAAGCTTTCGAGAGTTTTTCCGCTCTTCTTCAGGTCTGCAGAAGAGTGTGTGTGTGTAGAGATTGTAGCAGTATTGATCCAGTGATGTAGAAGTAAAAAATAGATACAATTCTTATCTTGTAAAACCTTTTTTATTGGACTAACACGCGCGTGTGTTTGTGTGTATATGTGTGTATATATAACCTTCAATAAAGTGTGTGTGTGTGTGTGTGTATGTATATACATGCGTGTATATATAATTACTTTTTGTTTGTTTATAGCATTGTAAAAATATTTGTTGTGCACATTTGCCGAGGGCCTTGTAAACATGTTTTTGTTCCTCATGAAAATAGCATAGGTATTACATGTTGTGTCCTGACCCAGGGGTTATAGCACACCTTCCTAAATGAGGAAGATCATTTATTGGCTGCCTGATTTATGTTTAAATTGCACACTTTCAGGTTAGTGAGGCTTCCATTTGAGTTTGTTGTAATAGATATTACATTGTATGCTCCTCATGAACAATTTTCTTCTGTATTGTCAAAGGAACAGTCTTGGTGCATGTTGAAGTATAGAGCCACAAGCTACACAGTGCAGGGTGAAGAATAAAGTATATTTAATTATAGTCCAGGAGACAAAACAAAGTTATGATGTTTCAGATGTAAGGGGTATTTATATGTGTACTCCACTCTGAGTGTTCATACATGATTGAGGCCTCACGATACATGATTGAGGCCTATTTTGTCTCCTGGACCATAAGTAGATATGCACGGTGTAGCCTGTGTCTCTATACTTCTGGATTTATATTGGGGCTAGCGGACCTCCCCAACAGAGCTCCGGTGTATTAAGATACTAGTGTGCAACACCCTACTACCCAGTCTTGGTACATGTGGGATATTTCAAGGATATCTGCAATTAGTTTGTGTGGTTTCAGTTTTTTTCTTTTTCATGTCATTTTTTGTAATTGGGGAGGAAAGGGAATTCACAAAAACATCACCTTGGTTAAACTTATTTCCAAAAAGAAAAGTGACACCATGGGAGGTAAAGATTTTGGTCTATACTCAGAAAAGTCTGTTTATTTTGTGCTGATGTTAGACATTTCATTTAAAAAAAGCCAGTGCGTTTTTTTTTTAAAATGTAGCATGTTGCCCATTAGTTTTCCGTTTTCTGGAAGAAGGTGTGGACACTAGCCTCTCAGATTCTACAAAAACACATTGACCCCAATCCATGTTGTTTTTTTTCCTTTCTAAACCTATTGACGGTTGGATAGGAGCTGAGACCACCCTACTCCTCAACATTGCATTAGTGGCCCGTAGGGCCTTAGCTCAGTCTTGGCTCAGTCTACCCCACCTATGACCTTAGTGATCAATAAACTTAAAGATAACTATTTAATGAAAAATTAACGGCGCACATACAAGGAACTATGAAAATATTTGAACGGGTTTGGGAAATGTGGGAGACCTCCTCAGGTACGGTGTAGCACAGTGGAAGGTTTGGGACGAGTGATGGAGTATGGGACCTGTCGTGCCCCGCCACTTCCCCACCAAAGCTGTGTTCCATCCCCAGTAATGCCTTGTGGTTGCGGTCACCCCCGCCCTCACTTCTTCCCCTACCCGCCTTTCCGACACACCCCACCTCCACCGACCCGGAATTCTTCTCATCCTGTCACTTTAATTGGTTCTTTTATGTAATTTTTCTTTTCTCCAATCCTACTGGTTTTCTATACAATTCTTCCCATCTATCATGGGACCTTTCAGATACATTTCTTGCTTTCATATAACTTCATACTGGATAACGCATCCAAAGAAAAATGAGTAAAAAACCTCATGGGACGGATCCAAAATAAACATAGTCGATACAATTAGCCCTGTTGACTATTTTTTGCATAATACTTCTCTTCAGAGGCTGGCCTGACAGTACCGACAGTTACTACTCTTTACAACCTTTCCATTGTATAAACGCATATACTTGTAAGACTTTTAATGTCTGTTGCCAAATACTCACCGAGTCCTGAAGTGCATAGTATACTCATCGCAAATATGCTCTACCTTTATAAAGATTGTATCCCAATACAACTACATGTACAACTGCCAAATTTCCATGTTACTGAAAAATGTAATGTCATGTTTTGACGACTCAACCACAGGTGGCAAAAATAAAAGAATAAAAAAAAAAATTGCAGAGGAAATTTAATCTACAGCCAGAGAGTAGGAAAATCACATAGTGCCTTCTACAAGAATTTAGTTTTACCTAATACATGAAATTTAAAAAAAATACAATAAATGAAAATGTTAGTCACTGTGTAAGCCTAAATTAGATACAACCTAAAATCTATATTCGGGGAAATGTTTTTCTGATTCTTTTTACAATGCTTATTTGAGCTTTTGCTGACCCTACAGAAGTTCTTTATATGTTTACCTTCTGTGTTTTTATTCCCTGTATTTCCTTCATTTATAGGTTGTGAACATTGCAGCAGGTGGTTCCTTGCTTGAATCAGTTACCGTCATGGACTGCTTCCCAGGACTGAATTTGGAAGGCTTCCCAAACCGGGACAGTACAAAATATGCCGAGCCCTATGGGATCCAATCAGCACACACTTTAATGAGAGGAACTTTGAGATATAAGGTAAATAATCTGGCCACAAAGGCTTCAATTTAATTATATTGGATAAAGCCCCAATGTTAACCATTTTTCAGTTAGAAATACTTTTCAAATAATCTATCCATAAAACGTCCCATAGACTGTAATGGTTACTTCTGTGGGCAAATCATTTGAAAAGTTCTAGTAATATATTGTGATCACTGGAAAAGCTTATCCAAAATAATAAAATTTAGGCCAAAAATGGGGGTGGAGGGGAGAATTAGTTTTTATTAAATTTGCTGGTTTTATACAGTTTATCAATTTTTGTTCTTATTTATTTATTTTGTTTTGGATAAATTTAAATTGCTGTAAAGTTAGGATGTTTGTGTCTCTTCTGTTTTAATATATGGTTAGAAAGTGTTTGTTTGACATTGTTGTATCTAGTTTGGATATCGGATCTCCATGACCAATTACATTTATTATTACAGGGTTTTGCTAAAGCAATGAGTGGATTTGTGAAATTGGGATTAATTAATGCAGATCCCTGCCCATTACTGGCGATTGATGCCCCAGCGATATCCTGGGTAAGTAAAGCATCCATTTTTTTTATGTTGTCTTATATTTTTTGAGTAGGTGATGTATGTATAATTTTTTTATATATTACATTTTGGTAGGTACCTTAAGACTGATCAAAATAACACAAAAAAGAACTGTATTAAATATGGACAAAAATAGACAAAGAATATAAAACCTATAAAAAAATGCTTTTATTTGCAATGTTGTTATCTTTAACCCACCAGAACAACTGCAGGTGAGACAGCTAATCTTTGTCTTGGAGCCATGTGACCTAAGTTGACACCGTAATATAATATAAAATAAAAGAAATCACAGGGCTCACTTGTGTAACCCAATATATTTTTTGAAGGACAATCTAACAAATATTTTGGGAGATGCACATCCTTTCTCAATGTACATTTCTCCACTGTGTTCCATTTTTTCCTAAACAAGATGAAAGCGTGCAATGAGTAATAATCTGTTTATGTAAAAATGAAAAATTCCATTACTGTCTTTCTTTTCATTATAAATCCACAGAAAGAGCTCCTGTGCCATATCCTGAACGTTCCTGTTTCCACCAGTGTTGACCATCTGAAAGAAATAGTTTTCCGTAAACTAGAAAAGGATGAAAATAACTTGGAAACCGTTCAGTGGTAAAAAACAAACATACCGTTACTAGAATATCATATAAAAGATACATTGTCATCTCACACCTACCCATCTCTCTCTGTCTGTCCGTAACTGAGGACTGAGAAGGGAATAAACCATTTTTAAGCTATGTGATAGCAGAGGTGGTACATCTACAATTTAGAGGATTTTATAGTCTATTTTGTTTCTTACAGTTTTCACGTTTTTTTTCTCACGGTTATATTTTTATGCTTCAATAATCAGGTTTTCTATTTGTTTTTTTTTTTTCTCTTTAGGTTTGGACTGCTAAGTGACGAGCCAGTGCCGGTAGCAGATTCTGTTGTTGCTGCTCTTGCTAAGCACATGGAAATCCTACTTTCATTTGGTAAGAATAGTATTTATCCTAGATAAAGGGGGCATGCATTTCTCAGTAGTGGTGCCGCCAGAAAGACCAAAATATATATAAAATACAGATTAAATTACAGTGCACACAAAATAAATACTGTTTTACATTTTACAAGACTACATAAAATCACATATCTTAGCAAACAAATCTGGGAATTCAGTTACACCATATGGCCATAATGTATTGGGCCCACCACTACTGCACAAGTGCGCTGTAACTTAATCTGTATTTATCCTAGATGCTTGTATACTTTGTAGCTTTTACCCCCTCTAAATGTAATCCGATAACTTTATTAACCATAGAGAAGGCTCTGTTTTCTTTTTAAAGCACACCTATTTAAATAGTTTAAGCAGTACTCTGTTATTTACTCAGCTGAAACTGACCAGGGAATTACAAATCCCAGGGAAATATATCTACAATTTATAATTGGTGAGTTCCAGACAATATCCATTAACCCCTTAAGGATCGCGGACGTACTGGGTACGTCCGACAAAAAAACAGTCCTTAAGGACTGCGGATGTACCTAGTACGTCCGCAGCAAAAATGAGCGATGGAAGTGATCGCTTCCAGCTGCTCTAAGGGTATTGCAGCAATGCCTCAATGTTGAGGCATCCTGCAATAACTCTGTTGAGGCATCCTGCAATACCTCTCCTGACTTTCCCAGGAGCAATCACTTCCAGGTTGCCCCAGGTGGCTCCCGGCAGTGTAGCACAGCATCGGAAACTATCGAGCAGGCTTCCGATGCTCTGCCTGTTTGCTGAGTGTCTTGAGCACTCAGTTAAGACTTAAATAAAATCAATAAAAAAAAAAAAATGAAAAAAATAAATGTATTAATCTCCACTCCCCAGCCTTTTGGCTTCCAATATGGCGCTGCCTTTCTAAAGGCAGTGCATCATGGGGCTTCTGGGGGTGTACCTAGCCTGCCTCATTATAGAGGCATGGGCTATGGTCATCCTATCAGAGCTTGCCCATATAATATTTATTATTACTATGATCCCAATTTGTCTGGTCAGGTCAATATTCGTAAATATTGACTCTGATCAGTGTGGATCTCCTTCCCTCTCTTCACTTGTGTTCTAGTGAGAGAGAGAGAGATCTGTGCTTAGCTAGAGAGATTTAGGTAGTTTTAGGTAGGTATTTGTAAAATTGTGAGAGCCATTAACCCAAAAGCTGTTTTCAGAGCCATTAACCCCTATCTTGCCAGTTATCACTATAAATCACTGGCTCTTGCACACAGCGGATACGTTTTTGTGAATTTTTTTTTTTTTTTTGTGACAGATCACTAAATAAAGTAGCAAATATGGGACTGTATTTCTAATCTAATATGTTTGTAATGCAATACTACCTAGTTAGCTCTTTACTACAATGGCTTTCAAAATATTGAGTATTCTTCTCGCAGCTGAAAATAATCAAATCTTCTCTAAAGTAATAGTGTTCAGTACTTTTCCCCTGCCTTTGCCACATGTGTTTATCCTACACACTCTCTAATTTTAAAGTCTGTTTGACAATGGCTATATTTAGCAAAGATACCATTTTACCTAAACTTCTAACTTGTCTTTTATTTATTTTAATGTTAAAAACCAGGACCAGGAGAAAGAGACATGATCGTTATGAGAAATGATGTTGGCATTAGACATCCCTCAGGACACCTGGAAAACAAAAATATCAGCTTAGTAGTGTATGGGGATGTCAATGGGTACTCTGCTATGGCAAAAACCGTGGGCTACCCTGCAGCCATCGCTGCTAAGATGGTCTTAGATGGTAAGTGACGGGGGTGTGTGTGTGTGTGTATGTGTGTGTGTGTGTTTTTTTTTAAATTAAATATTTCCATCTCGAGCTTCACACACACATTTTGGTTGTAGAAATGACACATGGTCAGCCCTCTATGAGAGTACTGTTTGAATCCATACACATATTAGATTGTTGTCCCATTAGATAATTCATCGATTGATTTTTTTTTTTTTATGTTTTATAAATCCATTTGTGCAACAACTCTTATGTAGGATTGGGGTAGGATTGTACTATGAATAATGTGTAAGGCAAAAGCTAGATAATAATTTTTATCATCCTCCTCCCACAATTTATTTTTGATTTACATCTAAGGGGCAAAAATCATCAATGTAAATGGTGGGTATCTGTGCATAGATGCAATGTGAATTTATTAAATAAAATAAAAAATGTTTGGAAACTGGGCTGTTGTTTTTGTGGCATCAGCAGTTAGAAATTCAGGATCCAAATAATGTAATGGAGTCATTTCCACTGAGTCTGTAATGGGGTCTAGTAAGCCCCAAAACCTTAGCTGAGTTAGCATCTTAAACCAGAACATGGTATTCATTCTTTGATTTCAGTTTCACCTTGTTTGCATTGAGTTGTCAAGACAGAGAGAATATTGCACACATCAATTATCCTCAAAGTACTTCCAGCATGCTGTTCCAAACAGGGTGGACTAGCGTCCCATATAGAAATAGTGGTAAAGGAATGGTCTGGGCACGCTTGGTGGTTTCCATAAATGTCATTTTTTTTTATTTTATTTGGAATGCAGAATAGAAAAAACAACAACATTTCAGCTCACCTGAGCCTTTGTCAAGACGTAGTATTTTATTCTGCACTCAAAATAAAGAATGCACATTAAAGAAACCACCAGATGTGCATAGACCATTCCTTTATCACATGTTTGTATTTAGTTGTGTCTCCACAGACTTTAACAGTTGAGCTCCTTAAAATGATAATGTCACACAATGCACACAGAATAGCACCTCTTTCACTTGCAAAGGACTAAATGTTAAGAAATCCTACATTTTCAGCATTTTTAAACAGAATAGCACCTGTTGTACCTTATTAAATCTCCCGCATTGTATTAATATATGTATGCCTCCTAGTCTCAGGAACAGTCTCAAGTTACAATGGGACAGAATCATTCTCTATAGAAAACTTACATACTTACATATCCATCTATAATAGAACTTATTTTATCTATTGTCCTCTTGGAATGTTAACAATTGTTTTTGACTTTTCATTTGAGCACTCTCAAGTTAACAAAACTTCAACTTGATAACAGATTATTGTGAGCTCCAAAAAACATCAAATGAACTTTATTTAATTTTCTTCTCTCTCTTTCAGGTGAAATTGACACCAAAGGTCTTGTAATTCCATTGACCAAGAACATTTATGGACCTATATTGGAGCGTGTTTTAGAAGAAGGAATTATCTATAACTCAAAGAGTACATTTTCAATTTAATTGATTGTACCATGGACACAACCCAGTTTTGCTGCTTTATCAGTTATTTCATTTTACCATGTTTAGTTAATTTTTTGTTACCCCAAGTACATAAGGATATGTTTTGATAAGGTATCAAGTCTAGAGAGAAGTCATTAGATATTTCCAGCGTGAAGGGAAATTGTATGTCAAGGTATGAAGGCTACTTTCACCAGGAATTGTAGACTGTCGACAAGGGAGTAATAAAGTTCAGGGCAAAATATCTGAATTGTCTCTAACACGGTTAATTTTACAGTTACGTTCTTTTTGTTAAAATTTGAGATTCCCTTGTCAATTGCCAGATTAGCAGTAAGGGTATTTAAGCCGTCCTTTAAGTACATGCCCAATTCATGAAATTGGCAGTGGGTGGTAACCGTATCTTAAAAAGGTATCCACGAAAGGGAAATAATTCAAAGTGACTTTCCAGTTATACGTCAAAGAAGGTGAACTTGAAGAACAGCTGACTTGGAGCAGTTTTCCAGTGTGGCTATTTTGGCCTTCGGTTGGAAATTGACATTGAAGTCTCACTTTAGTAAATAAATAACCCTGTTAGAGTTTAAATAATCTTTTCCTTGGTTTACATTTCAAATGAAGTAAACCGTTCCCACGTTCATTGCTTTGTCTATACTGAACTGTGCTCTAGATTATGAGCTTTTTATTCAGATAACTTTTTGTCGTACTTGGAATGTGCAAGATGAAATCATTCTTCTGCAGGGGTTTTTCTTACAGTGGTTACCCACACAATTAAGCTTTGTCCTGACAGGATTAACATATTCAGAAACTTGTGCAAATAATTATCATTGAATAAAATTTGATTCCTGGCAATCCTTGAGTTATTCGATTCTGAATATTCGTTCATTTCGTTCAGTTTCTAATTGAAATGAATTTTTTTAGGAAATGAAAGAATGTTCGCCAGGAATTCTATTTGGGCAATTAATGAATAATTAAAGCCCAGTACTGTTTGTCAGGGAGTACCGTATATACTCGAGTATAAGTCGACCCGAATATAAGTCGAGACCCCTAATTTTATCCCAAAAAACTGGGAAAACTTATTGACTCGAGTATAAGACTAGGGTGGGAAATGCAGCAGCTACTGGTAAATTTCTAAATAAAATTAGATCCCCCAAAAATTATATTAATTGAATATTTATTTACTGTGTGTATATAATGAATGCAGTGTGTGTATGAATGCAGTTTGTGTGTGTATGAGTGCAGTGTGTATGTGTATGTGATGCAAAGCCTTGGTGGGGGGGTGGGCATTTTTTTTTAATATTATTATTTTAATATATATTTTTTTATATTATTAATATTTTTATGTCATTTTGTATTATTTAAATATTTGTTATTTTTTTTCATCCCCCCCTCCCTGCTTAATACCTGGCCAGGTTGGGGGGCTCTCATTCCCTGGTGGTCCAGTGGTGTGCCAGGAGGGGGCTGGCAGAGAGCTGTAACTTACCTTTCCTGCAGCTCCTGTCAGCTCCCTTCTCTCTCCTCCGGTCCGGTCAGCTCCCCTGTCAGCTCCACTGCGTGGCAACGCTCTGACCCCGCGGCTCTCGCGAGACTTACAGTGGGAGATGACAGGACCGGAGGAGAGAGAAGGGAGGTGACAGGAGCTGCAGGAAAGGTAAGTTACAGGTCTCTGCCAACCCCCAAAGTAAGTTGCCATAATACAGACATTGACTCGAGTATAAGACGAGTGGGGGTTTTTCAGCACAAAAAATGTGCCGAAAAACTCGTCTTATACTCGGGTATATACGGTACTTAATTAATAAATATTTTCCATGTAATCATCAAATACATAAATGTGTTTTAAAGTTGGTAAATGCACACTAATTAAATTGTGCTTCAGTGTACATGCTTTGAGTACAGAATCATTTTTGTAAGATCGCATTAGTAAATATTCTTCTTGCAAAGAATTGGGCTAATTTTTTTTTTTACAAAAATGTAAGTTTAATGGAAGTTGGTTCTCTTTTTTGTCCTTCACTTTTGGGGGCATTTCATGGACTACAGTGCTGCATGACTTTTTTTAAAACAGGACAATTTGACATACTCACCATAATTCACTTTTCTTGGCTAAAATCCATGTCAATGTCAACTATGAGCTAAGTCCCTCACTCTCCTTTATCACATTTAAACAAAGGAAAAAATAAAAGGAAGACCTCTCCTTAGAAACCTCAGTCACGTAACCAAGCCATCCATGATCGGGAGGAAAGCCTTGATACTGACATGGATTTTAGCCAGGAAAAGAAAATTATGGTGAGTATGTAAAAGTGATCTCTTTTTCTGGCTAGTCCATGTCCGCATCACCTCCAGAGTTCATAAGGGCGTGAAAAAAGAAACTAACAAAGTAGAACTACCAAACCAATATTTATTAGAGCCATAGCTGAGTGAAAAACACTTCAGTCAAATGGTGAGGAAGAGGAAACTAAAATCTAGTCTGTAATGTTTTACAAAGGCGTTGGATGAGAATCATGCTGCAGCCCTGCAAGTAGAAGTGTAGAAGTGTATGCTCAAAAAGCCCAGGAAGCCTAGACAGCCTGGTAGAGTGCTCCTTAATATATTCCCGAATGGGTATTCCTGCCACTTTATAGGCTATTTTGAATCGCTGAAGTTATCCATCTTCTAATGATTGATGTTGAGGCAGGTTGACTATATACAAGAATTAGCTTTTTTGTCTTTCTGATGTATTTAGTTCTATCCAGGTAGATTCTTAGGGCTCTGACTACATCCGGGTTTTGCCACATCTCCTCTTCTTTATAAGTGGGATTCGGAAACAATGAAGGGAGGACAGTTTTCTGGTTATTGTGGAACAAGTTTTCGAATAAATTCTGGGAAATTCTATTTTTGGGAGAACTGCTGTTGACCCAATTATTGTGTAAATGGAGCTTCTGATGACAATGCTTGGATTTCTGATGTACTTCTTGCAGAAGTTATGGTGATTTAAGAATATTTTTTTCAAGGTTAGATTCCAAACTGAAGTAGATATCCATAGGATCAAATGGAGACAGAGAGGCTGTGCAAAATTGTGGGGAGATCCCATGCAGAGACAAATTTCTTAATAGGCGGCTCCATTTACACATAGCTTCTCCATTTTTGCTTTATTTTTATTAAATAAATCTCAGCATGGTGTATGTCATGTGTTGTTGTATTTACCTGATTCTAAGACCTGCTAAGAATATGATGTCCTGATATGTCAAACCACAGAATTTAAAAAGGTGTACTTTCTTATCCCTAGGACTGTACACAATTCCAGCTTAGAAAGACTGCAATGTTATTGTCTTTCCTGGGAAGATAAATTGCTGAAAGACTTTCCAGATTCGATTGGGTCCAGAATATAACTAGCTTTGTTTACTGCATAAGTTTCTTGTTCCTCATTCCACCTTGGTGGTTGATACATGCCTGGTGGTTGATATACCCATATGTTGTTTATCCTGATTTTTGCCCATTTAATCTTTAGTTAATATTTCAATGCCATCAAGCCTTGTATACTACACATGGTTCCTAAACATTTAACTAGAGATTCCAGTACTGGAGTGGCCATTCTCCCTGATATGTGTTGTCATGATTTCCCAATGTGGTTCCTCTGGAAGGAATCCTATACTTATGTTGGAGTCTTTCATCCACTTTCATCCAATGTAGTGATATTTTTACTTCTTTTGATAGAACTATAATCTGAACCCAATTCTGATCTTCTTGAATAAATTGAGTCAGGAAATTCTATTTAACCCACTTGATTAGAACAATTGCAGATACCAGGGTTCAATCCATATGAAGTCAATATTTGAACAACCAGATCTCTTTGCATTGTTCGCTCTTGTGGACAACCGTTTGCTATTAGAAAATCATATAGATAATGAGTTTTTTTACTTCTTTATTCCTTAAGAGTGCTGCCAGATGAATCAATATTTTTCAGAAAATTCTGGGCGCAGAAGTCAAACCTAAACCTGGAGATCAGGAATCTTAGCTATTTCTTGCGGTTTAGAGCAATAGGAAAGTGGTAATATGCATCTTGGAAGTCTATTGATACTAAACACTCTTCTTTGTGTATATGCTGTAGTAAGTCTGTGGGTTGTCCATCTTGAAAGTTCATTTTTTATGGTAGTATTTAATTCTTTCAGGTCCAGAATGATTCTTCATTTCCCGCAGGGTTTTGAGGCAAGAAACACTGGTGAATAGATACCATGGAATTCTTGAGGGGGAACTTGCATGATGACTTCTTGCCTTAAGAATATCCTGATGCACTCCCTCATTGAATTTTCTTTTGATCCCACTTACTATTTGACTATGGTGGACTTTTCAGTTTCTTTTCTTTGAAATTGAAAAAATATCCTTTTTCTGTTACAGAAATAACCCCTTAGTCTTGTATATGCAAGGTTAAGATGTCTTTGAACATTTCAAGGCTGGCTCCTATCTATTCTGTTTGGACCCTGCCCCCTTCAGAAGTTTTTACATTGTCCTCTGCTTCTGGTTTCCTTCCTGGCTTTTAGGATCTAGAGTCTGGAAAGGAAAACTGCTCTGTTTCCTCTTCCCCTTCCCCTGGAGTATCTGTTCATTCTTCAATCTTGGGGAAGAAGTGCCTTATTTCCTTCTACTACTTTAGAAATAGATCTTAGAGTTTGCCAAATAGGCGATTCCCTTAAAATGGCAGGGAATGTAAGTTAGTTTTAGAGGAATGGTCTGCTACCCCTGTCCTGTGACTTTCACAATCCGTTCATTGATAGCATCCAAAGCCTCTGTCAGGAATTTTAGATCTTTTGAAATTTCCAGAAGGGTTTCCTCTGTTTGTTCCATTTGTAATCTCTTCACTCAAAGAAGTGGTCCGTGCTCTTAGTGCTCTGGATACAGATGCAAGTGCTAATTCTGGATGCATAGTTTCACCTATGCGCTTCTCCATTGGGTCTCTTAATGATGCCACACTATCAATAGGTAAGAGGTTATTTTTTTTTTTTTCCCCTTCATCACTGTAGATGGGGAGGCATGGCATTGCTTTCCATTGTCTATTGAGATTATTCTTTTCTTTCAGGCTAATTTATGCGACCATTATAATATACGATTAGAATTCAAAACTCACCTTTTACTTTTAAACCTATCCCATGAGGCAAAGCAATAATGTAAAAAGAGAGAGAATAAGGTATAAAGAGGAGCATTATTTATTTTATTCAATTTTACCTTATAGCAGGTAGAAAACTTAGCAGCATCCACACCAAATAAATCATTTCAACAAACTGATAATTGATAAGCAAGACAATTGGAATTAATTTCATAATCCACTCGGAGAGCAAAACCCCTTTTTAAAAAGTCTTACTACCAAAAATCTTTTATATATAGTAACATAAAAGTAAAACATTTTCCAATTTCAGAGATTTCTGTTATATGACATTTTTATTCTATTCTAGTTTTATATTTGTAGGGAATAGCAAATAACATTTATTTCATTATTTTGTGGTCTTTTTTTTCTTTCTTTTTCAAGTGAAAATCTGGTTGATAAACCATGATATTTTATTAAATATTATTATTTTTTAAATCCTTCCCTGTTTAGCTTATTATTAACATATTTAAGTAATAATTGATCAAGTTGGATTCTGACAAGGCAATACAAGGATAACAAAGCTATGGAATGTGAAGCAATATATACAGCGCATGCATTGCTTAAAGGAACTCACGGATCTCTTTGGAGTGCATCCCCTTTTTGAATTAGTATATGTATAATAATTTAAGGGTCTTCTTCAATAAAACTTGCGTTTTATCTGTCAAATAGATGTCTGGAGACCGGCTAGGCCAAAAAAATCCTAGATTAACCAGAATCACTCATCTTACATTATGTAAAGCCTATTATCCACCTAGCAGCTCAAGACTTACTTTTGACACTCTCGGCCCTCCCTAGGCCTTCACTCCATACGTTACATACGGCCCTCCATGGGCAAGCCACTATAACACAATTTCAGCCCCTCATTTGAGTAATTACATACGACAATGGCCTTGTTAGGCTCACACAATCCCTTCCTATACTACCCTTTTCTGAACTCCCAAGAACCTAGAACACATCGCTACACATTTAACCATATTCAGGCTTCCTTGGTCTGTTACGTTTTTAAGACTTGTATAATCCACAACTCCTGTCACAAGCACTTACTAGATCTCACATATTTCGCTTCCTGCTGTAAACTAGAGATGTTCCTCGTCTTTCTCATACATACATACATCAGGTCCTTCTAGTGGAAGTACGCACAGTGGGAGCCCATAAATAGACATCTCGCTTTTCTATCTATAATGGTTCATGTGCATAATCATGTTTCAGTATTATGTAGGTTTCTACTATCCCTACTTATAATCCTATTGTTGATGTTTTAATCCTCAACCACAACAAAGGTACGTTATACCCTTATCTCAATTAGCAATTACATCTTCCTCGACATGTCCCCATTGTGTCTTTAAGCTTCTCTCTACAATATTCCTTTGTCAAGCTCAAACACACACTAGTTGGGCAAGATACGTATGTTCCAGCATACTTTCCACCAATTCATTACAGTGTTATACCCCTACATTCCTTAGTGAGCGATCAATTGGCTGTAAAGGGTATCGGTGCGGACCATATTCTAGTATAATTGTAATTCAGTCCTGCAAGGCCAATTCTCATCCTCACCTGTGGGTATTTGTCCATCGTCCCAACTCATAGCTAGAGCCTTGCTCCAACCTCTCAGGTTATTTTACAGGTCCCAACCTGCCGTGGCCACTCATTTGAATCCCTTACTTGTCACCGAGAGGCTAACATTCCAGCTACTTCATCAGTGGCCTCAGTCGCATGGCCAATTCATAGCTAGAAACTCTCACAGTCACTTGTCATTTAGTAGAGCCTCATCTAGAGCACCTTGTTTAGCTAATTTCTTGGCCATTTGGCACTATGCAAGCTGCCAGTTGGTGCAGGGTTACACTATCACCACTATCACTATCGTACCCCTTGCCACCATTCTCACAGGTTAACTTCACCTATTATAATCCAGCATCACGTTATTACCCCAGCATGTTCACTTCCCCTGTCAATTAGGAAGGACATACAGGAAAGCTAAGATATCAGATTGGTCTCCTTGTTGATTGCCTCCCAATACCTCGTAGAGAATTAGGTCTACTGCTACGGACACTTGTCAGTAGTTTTAAACGCTAGGGTCCCCAGATGGGATAAAACTGACTATACCACATTTGTTTTGGCATTTGGTCTATATAGAGACGTCATCTGTTACACGTCCCCACACAATAGCCATGAAGTGGATCTCTGTTTTACATGAAATAGTGGACCTGGGGCACAGTATGTCGGTTAAACATTCTAGGCCTATTGCTATTAATTAATTTTTATTTTTTATTTTGCACCGGGGCCCTGTGGTTTCTAGTTACGCCATAAGCCTTCTTTCAATCACAATTTCTGGTATTCTTCCAAACACCACAGCTGCCAAATGACCTACCAAAACCCCAACATTTCAAGACTTCGTACTGGATTAGCTCAGCTCATGGCCACGTTAGATTGCCAATAATAACCGTTCATATAGTAGAGCTCTGTCCATTTTCAGTAAATTCACTTCAGAATTTCAAACTGTTAATCAGTACTCAATCGATACCATAATAGTGTTCACATCCTTTTGCCACCACAACCTTAAATTAGCTCACACCACCATAAAACTACTTGGATGCAACCTTCAACATTTTAAGATCATTCTTCTGCAATCTATAGTAAATATCCCATATAATCAATGACTAGGACATGGAAAATCATCTGCATACACTAGATACATCACTCAACCGGAGAGGGAATTAAGGCAGACATTTAAAGTACTGGTTACATAATGTCCACACATATTAAAGTGTTAAACTATTGAACTTTTTGCCCTCTTTTTGTAAATCTATAACGTCAGTTTCAGCCCATAACAAACCGACACCACCACTACTATAAATCAGCTTATTGTCCCTGACCACAAATAGGAAGGCTGAGCCTGTAGTCGGAACCTGAAAATTGTGGGAGGGTTTACCCAGCCTATAAATACACAGACCGCCCTTCTGGGTTAATACTGCCTGGTTCAGCCCACCCTTTATCAAGCCATTTGGTTTTAGTGGGTTCTCTTTTAACAGGCCTACCCGAACATCAGTTTCGGCACACCACAACCACTTACACTATCACTTGGCTTGTTGTCCCTGAACACAATTCTATATGTGTGTGTGTATGTATGTATATTACATACTGATCAGCAACAACATTAAAACTGCTGACAAGTGAAAAACATTAATTATATTGTTACAATGGCACATGTCAAAGGGTGGTATACATTAGGCCTCAAGTGAACAGTCAGTTCTTGAATTTCATATGTTGGAAGCAGAAAACTGGGCAAGCGAAAAGATCTGAGTGACTTTAACTTGGGCCAAAAAGTGATGGCTAGACGAATGGATCAGAGTACCTCCAAAACAAAAAGTCTTGTTGGGTATTCCTGCTATGAAGTGGTTAATACATATCAAAAGTAGTGCAAGGAAGGACAAATGCAGACTGGTCAGAGTGCCCATGATGATCCCTGTTAATCGCTGAAAGTGCCTTCCATGGGGACTTGGGCATTAGAACTGGACAATGGAGCAATGGAAGGGGCTTTGTGGTCTCCAGCTCTAGGTCAGTATACCTTACATGTATTTTATGGGTTTATGGTGATAGCACTTTATGTCTTAATGCATTATGATGTATTATAGCGTGCATATAGAGCACAGTTAAGTCTCAATGAGAGTATAATCAGTCTATACTGGATTAATGGAATAAGAAATATTTTAGTGCTTAAAGGTAAAGTATTTCTACTTATACATTAATATAGCCCAGACTTAATTAGATTAACAAATGTTATTCATCAATTAATATTGCCCAGGATATGTACATAACACAACTAGAGTGATCATGAGCAGAGAATCATAAATAAAAGATACAAATAAAGGTATTTAAATCATCATATCAGTATCAAAATCAGGAATGGACACAAAAATGTACATATACAATAAAAAAAAAATGCAAATGATAATGCATTACATAATAGGCCCGATATAAACCAACACAAATTAAAAAATGTTTTAAAAAGACAAAAATATAAATATATATATATATAAAATAATAAAACAATATAATTATAATGAAAGAATAAATAAAATAATAAAACAAATAAAATAATAAAATAAAAAAGAAACAGATCCATGGGCTCCGGGGAGGGTCCTGGAGGGACAAACACCCCAGAGTTGGGGATGTGAGCACCTGAAGAACCAGAGAGACAAAAGAAAGAAAAGAAAATCCCGGATCCACGGAGTCTGAGTAGGTATAATACACATCCCATAGTCCCG